AGAGAAAAGGGAGCCCTTGTGCACTGTTGGTGGGAATGCACATTGGTGCAGCCACTATGGAGAGCGCTATGGAGGTTCCTCAAGAAATTAAAAATAGGACTACCATATAATCCAACAGTCCCACTTCTGGGTGCATATCTGAAGGAAATAAATCAATATCTGAAAGACGTATCTGCATTCCCATGCTCATTGTAGCATCATTCACAATAGTCAAGACATGGAAACAACCTGTGTGCCCATCAGTGGATGGATTTTTCTAAAGTGTGATATGCATATACAATGGACCACTGCATAGAAAGGAAATCCTGCCCTTTGCGACAACATGGATGGACTTTGAGGGCATTATGCTTACTGAAATAAATCAGACAGAAAAATGTAAATACTGCATGTTTTAATTTACACACAGAGCCTTAAAAAGCCAAACTAATGGAAATAGAGTTGAATGGTGGTTACCAGGAGCTCAGAGGTTAGGGAAATTGAGAAATGTTGGTCAAAGGATACAAACTTTCAGTTGTCAGATGAGTAAATTCTAGGGATCTAATGAACAGTATGGTGACTATAATTAACAATAATGTAGTTATGTACTTGAACGTTAAGAGAATGAATGTTAAATGTTATCACCACACACAAAAAAAATGGATATTATGTGAGGGGATAGAGGTATTAACTTTATTGTGGTAATCATTTCACAACACCTACCTTTATCAAATAACACTGTACACCTTAAACTTACATGTTGATATCAACATCTCAGTAAAGATGGCAAAAAATAAAATAAAACGAGCAGTTTGAGGAGTGATCAGGTGACTTTGAGGAGAAACCACAAGTGAAGGAACGAATCCACAGAAACACAGACCTCCAGGTACAGGGAGCCAGTCAGCGCACAGGCCCCGGGGCAGTTTATTCCGTGGCTGAAACCGCATCCTAGGGCCCACAGTTTTACAAATTGGTCCTCGTGTTTGTCAGACCGATTTCTAGGAGTGACGTGACTGGGTCAAAGGCTTTGTGAACTTTCTGTTTGTCAGTGAACCACTACCTCCCTGAAACCCTCTCTTCTCTTGACTTCTGTGACATCCTACCCTCATTTATTTTGCTACTTCTTAAATCACTCCTTCCCAGTCTCCCTCCCTGTATTTAACTAAATTTCAGAGTCCCTGCTAGAGGCAGAGCGCGCCCCTCCCCCAACACGTCCCTGTCCTAATCCCCAGAATCTGTGAAGATACTATCTTAAATGGCAAAAGGGACTTTGCAAATAGGATTTAATTCAAGGCTGTATTTTGCGGTGGGACCCGAACCTGGATTACCCAGGTGGACCCAATGTATTTAATCACTAGGGGCTTATAAGAGGAAGCCAGGAAGACTGAGAAGATAAGACAGTGCAAGCAGGGGTCACGGTCAGAGTGATTACATCTAAGGTCTCAACCAAAGTTAATGGCTTTGAAGATAGTGGAATGGGCCTCAAGCCAAAGAGTGCAGTCTCTAGAAGCTAGAAAATGCAAGGGAACAAGCTCTGCCCCTAGAGCCTCCTGAAGGAATGCATCGCAGTTAACGCTTGATCTTAATCCAATGAACCACTTCAGAATTCTTACCTCCAGAATTATAAAATAATAGATTTATGTTGCTGTAAACCACCAAGTTCGAATTATATACAGGAATTAACACAGTGCTCCAAACTGTAGTTCTGAATTCTCTTCTGCTCTCCAACTAAATTTACTTTTAGGGGTTTTCATCAAGTTTGTGGCAAACACAAATTTATATCTAAGGTCTACTATGTGCCTTTTTCCCCCCAATTGACACATAGATTTTATTTGCTCAGAGAGTCTTAATTTATGTATTTTGCCAGGATTGCGCTTGGATGCTGTGGGCCCAAATTCATGCACTCAATAAGAAAAAAAAAGATTCTATATTCACAGTTAATCACACTCTAGTCATTAAATTCCCTCAACAAACTGCTCAAATAATACCAGATATATAAATAGTTTGATGTATCCCCACTCTTTTTAAGTGGTGAAACCTCATTATCCTCCCACCTGTGGTTGAAAATTCTGGTTAGCTCCTGAACACTTAGAGCACAAGGGAAGCACATTCTCAGAATCACACATCCACTCAGAAGTAACACATCAGGGGGCAATTCTTTGTCTCAGGAGACATGTGTCAACACCTGAAGGCATTTTTGGTTGTCACAAGACAGGGAGGGGAAGAGCTACTGGCATCCAGTAGGCAGACAGCAGTCAGGGAGGCTGTTAAACATCCTACAATGCACAGGACAACCCCCAAGCAACAAAGAATTATCTGGCCCCAAACATCAATAAGTGCTGAGGCTGAGAAACTCTAATCCTATACAGATGTTTTTCAACAAGGGTTTGGATTAGCTCAGCAACATTTAATCCAGTGTCCCAGCTGGAATGTACTTTCAGTTTGATCATCTTTCGGGCTTTCAGGCTTTTGATCATCTGATGCAAATTTCTTTTAAACTCTCACTATTTCCAAATTCTGTTTCTGGAGTTACCCCTACCACATTCACTCCACTCCACCAACATACTTAAGTTGCCATGTTCTCCCAAAATCCGTTCAAGAAGAAACAGCTTCTGCAATGCTATTCTTTTCAGACATAAAACAGCAAAACCTATCCAAATCCAGTTTTCACCCACTCTGAATCATGTGGTGCTTGTGAAATTCTTTTGGTTTTCAGTTAACACATGTAAGAATATCCATTGGATTGAAAAATGACAATTGTAGGCTCTAGACTAGACTGTCCTTTACAATCTGGATACCTATGGTTTACAAGGTATTAACTCTTCTGGATCAGACTGAGGTGACTACACTTCTCTTGCTGATAAACTCCTGTAGTTACCTCCACAATTTTATTTTTTTAAATGTTATTTTTAGAGAGCGAGCAAGGAAGAGGCGAGAAACACCAATCAGCTGCCCCTTGCACTTCCCAACTGGGCATCTGGCCTGCAACCCAGGCATGTGCCCTGACCAGAAGAGAATGACCAACCTTTGGGTTCACAGACTGCTGCTGAATCCACTGAGCCACACAAGCCAGGGCTCCACAACTTTAGAATGTGCAGTGGAGTGACCTTTGCCACAATTGTAGGTGTCTATAAAGAAATGAGCTCTCATGCTGTCTGTCATTTCTCTTTCTCTGAATTGTTCCTCTAAAATATCAAGAGGTAAGTTAGATCATCAGCAAGACTCCACAGAATGCTGATGGTCCAACACTCCCTTCAGTGATATTTGTGACTGTTTCCTCTAATGCAGCTAGTGCTATTCAGATGTTGCGTTGTTTGTTTTTTTAAATTAAATTTATTGGGGTGACATTGGTTAATAAGATTATATAGGCTTCAAGTGTACAATTGTATAATACATCACCTGCATATTGCATTGTGTGCTCACCACCTAAAATCTAGTCTTCTGTCACCATACACTTGACCGCCCTCAGGTTTTTTTTGTTAAGAGTAGCTTCTGGGCTTTGGGGAAAGAGGTGAGAGGAAGCAGAGGATGATGTCAGCTGCATCTTTCTCTCTGGGTAAATGAACTGCAAAAAGGGAGGAAGCGAAACCCGACTCTACATATTCATCTTTTAGTAAGTCCTACCCCAACACCTTGCCCCAAAAAAGCACTCAGTTCCTCCAATACTGCATACGAGTGTCATTTTCTGGTTCATCTCTAGCCAATAATGAATTTTAACAAATTTCAAAATACTGACAGTTTGATGACTGGGAAAAAATATTATTGTATTGTTGAATTCCCCTTTCCCTATTATATTCCACGAATTTTTTTTTAAATATACCTATTTTCTCTAATTTTAATACTTGTCGTGGCTCAGTTGTGAAAACCATCATGCCTGCAGACTTGGTCAAATGTCCCATGGTGAGTGAATTCTTTTAACCGGGAGCTGAAGTATATCAAGACTGTACTGCTCGAGAAGATCTGCAATATACGGAAATAGCTACACTGCCAGTATTACATTAGTAGTACCCTTTTCTCTCTCAGCTTCTGTGACACCATGCTCTCTCGGTTTTTTCACTACCTCTCTCTAGTCTCCTCTCCTGCACTAAGTTTCAGAGTACGACTCAGGGTCTTCGACTCTCCACTTACACTTACTCCGTTGGGGTTTTCGTCTAGTTTTCCAGCTTTAAATGGCATCGCTAATGATACACTGAAAAATGTATATTTCTGCCACATGGATAAGTTTTCTTCCAAACCAATGGGGGAAGGGATGGCATTGAGGCAACGGACTCTCCCTGTCGGGGAGAAAAAGTGCGCAACTATGTAGGAGGACATGAAGGTCTTGCTCAACTTTCTTGGGACAGAGGCTTTCTCCGTGTTCCCTCTGCGAATACCTAGGGCGAGCGTTCGATTGTCCTGAACTCAGCAATCTACAGGTGACTCCAGCTGCCAGTGCTCCAAGAAAGACCCTCAGGGGGGATAGGGGAATGCGCAGGGGAGCCATGAAGGCCGATGAAGGCTATGAAGGAGACCACGATAAACAGAAGCCAGCAGAACGTGAGCTCTCAACCCGATAACCACGCAATCACAAGCAGAGTGCAAACCTCGATTTCAGTGAAAGGACCGCGTTCCCCACCCAGCAGAGCGGGAGCCAATCGGTGGAAGAATATGCAGCCTCGATTTAAGGAACCAATCCAAGACCACGGAGACCTATTATGACAACTTCGAGAACCAATGAAAAATGGTGACTCTCCTAGCGTGCCTCCCCAGCGCCAGTCCCGAAGAGCTCACGCAGAGGTAGATTTTCAGAAGATACAAATTAAAACACAAGTCCGCGTCTTTAGACGGGATACTACTCTTACAAAGATGAGTGAAGAAAATTCTGTGAGTGAGTATAACAGCATTTCTTCGAAACCTCGCGGGCGGCGGACCCGCAAGTCACCCTCGAGCAGAGGGCTCCAGCAAGGGAGGGGGAAGGAGGGTACGTGCTGCGCGGTGACGTAACGCGCCGGGCCCCGCCCCGGCCGCCCGCCCTTATAGCGTAACACGGGCGCGCGCGCACACCATTGTGTGGCTGGACTTGGCCGCCGCTCCTGTGAAAGGCGTGTGTTTGGGCTCTTGACGTCCCCGCACCCAGACCGCGGCTTCTGCCTTACGGTCCACCTTCCGACAGCCAGCCCTCGGGCCCCTCGCCCGCCACGGACATGCCGCGCGTCTACATAGGACGCCTTAGCTACCACGTCAGGGAGAAGGACATTCAGCGATTTTTCAGTGGCTATGGCCGCCTCCTCGAAATAGATCTTAAAAATGGGTGAGTTGGCCCTGGGCGCCTGCGTCACTCCGCAGTGCTTCGGGCCTCGCGTCAGCGGGACACTCCACACGAGAGAGGCGATCAAGGCCGCGGCGCCGCGTCGCACGGCCTCCAAGATGGCGGCGGTGGCGCGGGGTTGTGGGAGCGCGCGAGGGGGCGGGGTCGCGTGCGCGTCCCCGTCCTAACGACGCCCCGCCTGTTCCCGGCCCTCGCACCGCCCCCTAGGTACGGCTTCGTGGAGTTCGAGGACTCCCGCGACGCCGACGACGCCGTTTACGAGCTGAACGGCAAGGATCTCTGTGGCGAGCGTGTCATCGTGGAACACGCGCGGGGACCGCGCCGCGATCGCGACGGCTACAGCTACGGAAGCCGCAGTGAGTCCCACCCCCGCGCGCTCCGCGCCCTTGGGACCGGGGGGCGGGCACAGGCCTAGAGGGGGCGGGGTGGGGCCTCCCAGCCTGGGCAGACGCGGTAGGCGGGGTCGGTTGACTCGGGTGTCCACAGGACCCGCTGCCTTCACGCCTGCCCGGGGCAGTCACGGGACGCCGGAGCGCGGAGATTGGGTTGTGGGGTTTGCCTAGTCAGAGTTTGGGTGTTTGGGGTTTCTTTGCTAAGTTGGGAGGGGGTGGCTTGTTCTGGGCCCCTGTCAGCACTGTCGTGGGCTCTGCCCACAAAGGAAGTGAGGGATGGCTGTATTTGTATCTCCCTTGCTTACCTGTCAGTGCATTAGCTAGAAATGTGAATGTCTTAGCGTAGAAGTATGGGGACAGGTTGGGGTGGAGGTGGGGTGGGGGCGGGGAATGGGGGGGGGTTTTAAGTTTAGGTCTTAGAGTTATTAAAATTGGCGGGGGCCAAAGAAAATACTATATTGAATTAATGTGGTATTTACCACAAGTAAATCTAAATAAGCTTTATGCTGTACTTGAATTAATGGGGGCATGTTATTGGGAGGAGGTGGGGGGTTGGTTATGTTAAATGTTTGATGTTGAAATTGTTGCATGTTGAATTCAAACTTTTTAACAAGTCCTTGATGTTTCAATTTGAAAGTGACCAATGGGGCTGAGGCTGTGTCCACTGAGGCTAAGATGACTGCCTTTCCTGATTGGCCTTGGCTTTTCCATACATTGTGTGACCCTTGCCCTATGACCCTTTGGCTGACCTTACCGGAAGCCATGACGACAGCAGCCTTTTGCCATTAGACGCAGGGTGATGGTGAGGATTCCAAGGGTTAGACAAAACTGGTTAATCTGAACTAGGTGACTGTTACCTTGCGTGTTTTGTGGCCAAACCACCACCAAAAACCTCACACTGTGATGTAAGTACTTAGTGTAACTAGTAAACATTTTTGTAAAATGTAGAAATGCATGTAATCAGTTAAGTTTTATATTTTACAATGTTCTGTAAAATAAAACTTAGCGAGGTAAATTGAATAAAGGAGCAGTCACTCTCTAACAGATTGTAGGAAAAGTTTAGTTGGATTTAGTCTATTTGGCTTGCCCTTAATTTAATTTGTGGCAAATCACAACTGTATCAAAGGTTTAGCAATATAATAGCAAAGTCCTACTCCAGTAAATAAAAGTTGATATGTTTGTACTAACTTTCAAAAACATGTGCCCCTATCATTACAAAACTCCTAACTGTTTTCTTCATGTGATAAAGGTGGTGGAGGTGGATACAGCAGTCGGAGAACTTCTGGCAGAGACAAATATGGACCACCTGTTCGTACAGAATTCAGGCTTATTGTAGAAAATCTTTCTAGTCGCTGCAGCTGGCAAGATTTAAAGGTATGTGCTATATTTCAAAATAAAAATGACTGTTTTAAAAGGTAGGCTTTTGTTTTTCTATTCTTGAAAATTAGGTATGTCAATCTTTTTCTTTAGATTTTTGGGTCTGACTTGTCTTGTTGCTTTTTTAGGATTTCATGAGACAAGCAGGCGAAGTAACCTATGCGGATGCTCACAAAGAACGCACAAACGAAGGAGTAATCGAGTTTCGCTCCTACTCTGACATGAAGCGTGCTTTGGATAAACTAGATGGTACAGAAATAAATGGCAGAAATATTAGGCTCATTGAAGATAAAGCACGATCAAGCCATAGGCGGTCTTACTCTGGAAGCAGGTCAAGGTAACTTGAAAGATAATAGAGAGGGGAGGAAACAATATTTGCCAAGAACAGAGAAAATTCAAATGGGATTATTTAAATTGACAATTGAAATTAGAGCAGTTTTAGGCTGCATTATTGGGTTATTTTCCAGATGTTTCGATGGTGGATTTGAATTGTAAGCAAGTAACTTTTTGCTGGTTTGTCTATTCTCTGTAAATGTCACAAACATGTTGAGACGTAATTGAGATTAAGATTTTGTTACAATTCTTACAGGTCACGGTCCAGAAGGAGGTCACGAAGTAGGAGTCGCAGGAGCAGCCGCAGTAGATCGCGAAGTATCTCAAAAAGTCGCTCCCGGTAAATAATGTTAAGTCTTTCTCTCGATGTAACTGTACTTGTTTATGGAGTACTTGTGTTCTCTGGCAAGGTGTATTGAAAGAAAAATATGGCTTTTCTTGTTCAGATCCAGATCTCGGAGCAAAGGTCGATCACGTTCTCGGTCAAAAGGCAGAAAATCTAGATCAAAGAGCAAATCGAAGCCCAAGTCTGATCGAGGCTCCCGTTCACGCTCTCGAAGCAGATCTAAGGATGAGTATGAGAAATCTCAAAGCAGGTCTCGTTCTCGATCTCGTTCCCCCAAAGAAAATGGAAAAGGTGATATAAAATCAAAGTCTAGATCAAGGAGCAAGTCTCATTCCAATTCTCCCCTACCTGCTCCACCCTCAAAGGCTCATTCTGTGTCCCCTCCACCAAAAAGAGCTTCAAGATCCCGTTCTAGATCCCACTCAAAGTCAAGGTCACGGTCCAGATCGAGTTCCAGAGATTAATCCAGAACTCTATGTTCTTTGCACACTATTATGGAACACTTTCCTACTTGCTTAGGCAGTTACTCTTCCATGTTTGTACTTGGCCTCTCCTGCAAGAGGAATCCCCTGAAAACAAGGGCACACAGAAATTTGTGGCCAAATTTGATGAAAAAGTTGGGGTTCTAAAGAAATGGTGGCATGAAGACCTCCCTTCTTTGTAGAATTAAGATAACTTTGATTTTATAGCTTTTGAGCTAAAATAACTTTTGTAAAGATTAAGCTCATTTAGATTTTTTTTTTTAAGTATTTCAGCAGGATCTGCTGCAGGGGTTTTGTTTTTATTTGTTTGCTTTTAAATTTAAACAATTTCCAGCTTTGGATACTTATTAAAGCTTTAGAGGGAGAACCCATTTTTCAATTATGTTGGCTTTTTATAAAGCCTAAGTTATGTAAGATTTCAATAAAAGTTTGTTACCAAGATGATTGCCTTATTGAATAGGTCACTATTAATTCCTTTAAATATTGATACCTGCTGTTTATGGAAACAATGTAAATTCTCCTTAAGTGTAAAACAAGGAAAGCCTCAAACCAGCAATAAATTATTCAATTTGGATAAAATTATTTTGTTGTTAATCAGATTTGCCAAAGTCATTGTATCTGCCCATTTAACAAGTTAAGTTAAAAATAAAATATTTTGTAGCCAATCTGTTATACAATTTTGCCTAAATTAATGGATTTTAAATAATGAAACCTTATTTTCTTTTGATACTTTTTAATGTGAATGTTTATAAGAAAAGAGTCCTTTTTTTTAACAATATGAATTGCAGAATTTCAGAGAAGAAACTGGTGCCTATAGTTAAAGTTGTTTGCCGATTTGAAAGAACAGAGGTTAGTGACTTTAAGAGGCAAGCATCAGCTGCTTTTCGGAATTTGGTGTTTAAAGATAGGTCAGTTTAGAGACTTGGCTTTGACCAAAGTTCTCTTGTTTTTAGGGAAAGAACAAAAGCTTGTAGAAGGAGAAGGTGGGGAATATTACAAGGTGGAGTTTGATTCTCTAAAAGTATGCAACATCCTTATGTTGTATCACATGGTGTAATAGACAGGTTTGTCCCTATGTTAGCTGGCCTGTAGTGGATATAGGTAAATAACCTGCACTCGTAAAAATTTTCTGACAATTGCAAAGACCAGCAAAAGACTAAAAGCCTAGTTTTATTCCATACCTGTGGACCTCCATCATGAGATAGCTAAACCGCTATAGCATTGGTCCACTTGAGAACAGTTGGCTGATAAAATGTTTAGTTCCTTGCTAATTTGTGAGTTGAATCCGACAGTCTCTGCAACATGCCACGTGTTGATCCATGACTAGGTGGTGTATTAAGGTGATAGAGAGCAAAAGAGAAGTGAGCAACATCGCGATCCCCCTTTTATGTGACTGTTTATTGATCCACCATAGTGCCTTTATGGCAAGTTTTAAGTCCTACCTGCTCCTGTGTTACCATCTTTCATTTTTGGTATCTTTCTCCCACTTTGTTAATCTATTTTTTGCTTTATTTCAATAAAATGCTTCTGAGGGAAAGGTTTGTTTTGAATTTATTGTGTATTCCACTTAGTGCCAGATTCTTGGCAAGTGGTGTTATGAATTGGAGTTGCTATTCCTAACTTGAATATGAGAAAAATGCTCTCGTTTTCAGTTCCTCAGAAATAATGAGTTTGGGATAAGATCGTCATTGACTCTTTTCCATGCTTCAATGTTATCCACAAAACGGCAGGGATAAACCCTCTGGGTTGTGAAGAATAAAGGTTAATAATACATGAAAAGTACTTAGAACAGCATACTTTGTATCAACCCTGTTTTATTTTCACAAAAAACTTACCCATTTTTATCTTGTAGCAGTTTGAACATTTTCCATGACCATTATTTATTTCTTCGATAAACAAAGCATAGATCATGTTTTCCCAAGTCCTTCATTTAGACTTGTAGTGCTCTAAACCTTGGGAATTTATGCTTAGGAACCATCACATTTTTATTATTTACTTTTCAGAAAACATTGTTTTCTGACATAAGTTTTAGTCCTGTGGCAGTGGATGTTTCTTGAGTACTCATTTAGTTATAAAAGAAATCTACATTTGGACTGCAACATACCTCTCCTTTAGAGCCTGCATACTAAGATAGCTGCTGTTGATAGAGGTATGGTGTCTATGCCAATAAGCAGTTCATACCATGGGTAGTGTTCTGCAACTTGTTTTTACTTAATACATACTAATGCCTAGTTCTGCATTAAACTACTAATACTCTATAGAATGGATGTATAACTACAGTTTTTTCAGTACCAATTTTAAATTAGTGTAATCCTTTGACTTAGTAACAACATGAATGAAAACAAATTCCTTTCAATATTCAATTTCATACAATGAAACTGCTAGAGCTCTAACACAGTTTATCAACCTACTATTAATTTATAGTAATGCCGCTTTCTGAGGCAGCAGCCGTGTCCTATATAAAATGCATTTTTGTATCCCAAGCCTATGTATGCTTCCATTTATTAAAAGGAGTAGTCTGTATACTTACATAATTGGTCTTCTAGGTCCTAAATAGCTTATTTAGAATTGCCTGGCTATCTTTCAGCAACCCCACAAACAGTACTTAAGTTATTAACACTTGAATAGAAAGGAATCATGGTTCGAAAATCAAAAGATAACGAAGAGCAACAGTAAAATCCATCTTTGGAGAAAGTCAGGGTCATTAATTTATGCATCGTTTTGGAGAAAAATCTAGAAAGATTAACATTCACTAGGTAGTTTCATTATGGCTTGTTTGAATTTTATAAAAGCAAGTGAAACTATAGCTTATAATAAGAGACTACTTGTAATTAAATTTATATTCATTTAGCATATTTATACCCAATTTTGAAAAATTTCTAAGTAGGTAGGTATTAGGATGAAGATTCATAAGCAGAGGATTGCAAACAGCCCTAAAGCATTAAAATACAATGCCTATTCAATACTCTAGTGAAAAGCACGCACTCAGGATAAAGAGGCTCAGAAAATAAAAAATGAATAGACTTAAAATTTTTCAATAAAATTTCAAATTGAAAAAAAAACTTACAAAACTACCTTTTTCCCATTTACCAATTATTTTATTTATGTGTTTTTTTTCCTAAAAGCCACCTAAAAGTAAGACATCTTGCTGTTTTATCTCTTTAAAAAAAAGTTATTTTCTAGGAACAGAAGGGAACATTTTAGTATATAACTATAGTATTCAATTATTGAAATGAAATTATCATTGATGTACTATTGCATAATCTATTCTTATATTTTATCAGTTGTCCCAAAATGTTTTTTTCCATTGGATCATTTGTTGTTGAATTTTGTTTTCATTTCTCTTAAGTCTTTAAACTGGAACAGGTTGTCAGCCTTCAGCGTGGTGTTTTTGAAGAGTAAAGGCCAGTTATTTTGTAAAATTTCCCTCGGTTTGGGTTTACGTGTTAGCTGCTCCTCATTGCATTTTTTTGGCAAGAATATCACAAGAATAAGATTATCCTCGGTGCATCATATGTAGTGGCACATTGTGATAACCTGAATCCTGTAAGTCATTTGTTCGCTTTATAATCAGTAATTTGATGGGGGTAAGTATAGTCTGTTAAGTACCCAAGTTTTTCACCAAACTACCTGCTATTAACATTGTTGATTCTCCAGGTTTCATTGGCATTCTAAATGTAAGGAAGTGCTTTCTGTGGGGGATAGACTGTTTTAAAGGTAAAGTCAAAAGAGGGTTTTTTGTTTTTAGGAGAAGGAACCAATCATTTTGGAGACTGAGAAAGAGCTGCCTGTGGCGGGCAGAAAGGGAGCTGGAGGCAGCTTTCACAAAGATGAGAGGATTATGCAATAGAAAATAAGCTGTGTCCTAATCTGCAAAACAGTACCATCTGATGTGAGGAGTGAGTGCTGTTAGCTAAGGGCTGGGCCCAGACACTGGTTAAGTAGTAGCTCCCTTTATTAAAATATTCCATAAACAGGATAGTGAGACTCTTAATACTCAGGCAGTTGAGGAAAAAGCTAGGCTAAACAGAGTTGCTGAATAGCCACTGCTGCTTTAGTCATTCATGAATGGCTTTGAGCGTACTGTTTAATTGGATTGGCCAAAAAATCCATATGTTTTTCCATAAAACAAAAGATATTTTTCATTTTCACCAATAACTTTACTAATAGATTGGGATATTGAGTATGTCAGCTAAAGCATAATATACTGAAAATAATGGTGTATTTTCTTCCATCAATATTAAAATGGCTACACAAAAAGGCACCATTTTTTATAACTTTTTTAAAGTGCATGCTGAATGACCACTGTCCCAATACAGTCTAACAAAATGGTTTCTAACGAAGTTCAAGACAACTATGCACTACTAGAGCCTTTGTACCAAAAAAACGAAAACTTTTTGGCCAACCCAATACATTGCTGTTAATACTATTACACAAATTTCAGATAGCTAGAGAGTGGTATGAACCTCCCATGTGCTCAACCAGCTTTAGCAATATCTATATACCTGTCCACTTCCCCAGGTAACTTTGAAGGGAATCCTAGACATTTCAGGTGAAGATAGTTCAATATGCACCAATGAAAGACATCTTAAATCTGAATCCATAGGGTGTATGGCAACCATTGATCTTTGCCTAGATCCATTCAACAGTGAAGCCATGATTTTAAAATAAGGGTGTTTTGTTTTTATACCTTTTATTGACTTTAGGAAGAGAAGAAAATTATTTTTTTTCATTCCATAGCAGGTCTTGTTGATAATTACCTTGTTCCACCTTTAGTCAGTGAGAGTTAAGTTATCTACTGAGTTCTGAAACAACCCTATTGATCTCTGCAGCTTCCTTGTTTTCTGGTATGGTAAGATTTCCAGACTTGTTGCACTGCGTGGCTAGATGGGGCGCGCTGCTGTGGGGCAGCACAGCAGAGAACACGGTGCTCCCTGAACCTGAGCGAAACCAGCTGGGGCCAGTTGAGTTGGGAGCAGGGCTCTGAATCCTGCAGAGCCTGTCCTGGGGTTGTCACGGATGAGGGGGATAAACAAAACATTGCAAACACTTCCCTGTTTGCTGGGAGAGCAGAGGGGGCACTTCCCTCTTACTGGAGAAGGCCCTGGCACATCCCTCTAGTGGGGAAGGCCCTGTCGCCCTTTGTTCCAAGGCTTTTCTTGAAAAACTTAGCAGTTGGGCTAGGTAATAGGAATGTATATATAATCTCATTAACATTAGCATGTTAAGTTTCACAGAGAATAAATACTTTTTAGAAAATAAGTGACAGGAATTCACTGATTTACATGGGTCTGAGAGGAGACCAGTATAAACAAAAGAGAATGAAGATAAGGGCAAGCGGCCTTAATGAATAAAGGGTAAGAGGTGCAAATAATGTGAAGGTCCTTTGCAGCAAGAGCTGGACAGAGATCCCAGGGAAGAACAAAGCACACTTTAAAGAAATTACTTTTAGGCCCTGATTTCCCTGGCAGCTGCCAGTCCTGATTTAGAGCTGACTCCTGCACTGCTTCAAGCCTGAGCCAGGTGTGGGGAGGGAACCACCAGACAAGGAGACTGCTTCTCGGCTGCAGTGAGGACTCCGGCTGTGGCCACGCCAAGCTGAGAGGTGTGGCTTTTTGCCCCTTTTCCGTGTCCCCAAATTTCTTATCTGCTGCCAATACCAACTGGGACCGGTCTTAGGTTGTATACCTCAGTGCGAGGTAACTTACCCATCATTGATCACCCGTCCTCCATGGCAAAGCAGAGAGGCGGGGGCTATGCCCCTACCCGGGGGTGGGGGGGCGGTAGACATGTCATCTCTTCTCAAGAGGCTGTTTCTCTAAGGCCTGATTATTTCCAGCCTTGGGGCCCTCCAGTCTGTTGGCAGGGTTACAGCTCCTGAAACCAGGCAGGGCGTTTCCCAACACAGACTTACCTTTTTATATTTATCATTTTTTCTAGAGTTTAAAGTGAAAGAGTTTATTAATGAAGTCCAGGCTCATCTTTTCAGTCACATACCTGGAATTAGCCTTTTCTTTAAGCTCTATTTTCATTTGGAAATCGTATTTAGCAACCACAACCTGGACCCTGAGGGTGTTCATTGCTACTGCTAGCCTGGTCATAGGTCTTTTTTTAAGGGGTTGTGGTGGTGGTGTTGTTCATAGGCCTTTATTTAAGGGGTTTTGTTTTGTTTTGTTTTTTTTGAGAGAGAGAGAATGGGGAAGGGAGGGAGAAAAAGAGGGAGGGAAACATTGGTTGGTTGCCTTCCATACATGCCCTGGACTGGGACTAAACCTGTAATCCAAACATGCACACTGACCAGGAATCAAAGACCACAACCTTTTTGGTTTGTAGGTCGACACCCAACCAACTGAGCCACACCATCCAGGGTGGTGTTAGGCCTTTTCAGTGGACAGAGCCAGGGAAACCACTGCCCAATTCTTCAGACCAGAGATACCTTACTTTGTGCTCCTGTGAAGTTCCTCTTCAGGCTGAAGACCCCCTGACCCTGGCTCAGTGCAGCAGTTTTGAATCCTCTCCCCATCTCAGTTGTCCTTTGGTACTCTGATTTGTGAGTGCCGCCTTACCAAGTGGGCCCACTAGTACACACAGCACTTCCGGCTCGCTCTAACCTGCTCAGAGCAGAGCGGTAGTACATGGCCTCCCTACCTTAAGAGATGTTTCCTCAGCTGAATTTTGAGCCAGTTCTAGCAAAAGGTGAGGAAACTATTTCTTTAATAACCCTGAAGAATCTCTTCTGTACCTTTAGAGAGTTTAAACCAGATAATGTATCCTCTTGCTTTGGATAATAGGAGGAAGAAGGAAACTCAATCTAAATTTCACAGCATTATAATTGGAATGGGCAAGTAAGATCTTACATTATAGCTTCCATCCACCTTTGCTGTAGATAACATTGCCCCTGCAGACCTAGCAGGAACTGAAGGCCAGATAGCTGTGAATGTGACTGTAATAAGATGACTGATACAGGTGTTTTCAGGGAGCCCTTAAAGAGTGTAGCACCTTGAATCACAGAGGTCCAAAGTCACACTCTGTAAACACTAAAGGCCTCACTGAATGTGTGGTAGATGATATTGCTGTCAAATTTTATGTATACATAAACTTTTAAAAATATCTTTTCTACATATCCTAATTTCCCTTCCATGAGCAGAGAACTTCCCATTCTGTGATTTTGACCATGGAATTTTAGCAAGCATGCCATACTTGGTAAATGAGATACTGCCTTCCCTTCTCCCAGAGATGCCTACTTCCTAATCCCCGAAACCTGCGAATGCCACCTTACATGGTAAAAGGGACATTGCAGACGGGAGCATTTGAGATCTTGCTGTCTGGCATATGTCATCAGTTTGGCTCAAATGAACTCTTAGAAAAGTTAAGTAAATACATGAAAGGGACATTGCTGATATGATTGAATTAAGGTCTGGAAATGAGATTATTCTGGTGGGCCCAGTGTAATCACTAGAGTCCTTATAAATCGAGAGGCTGGAAGCAAAAATCAGAAGTTACACGAAAACAGAAGCATAGAGAGATGAGGATGGCTTTGAAGATGGAAGCGGCCTGCAGGGCCAGAAAAGAATTCTCTATAGCTTCTGGAGGGAACACAGAGCTGTCTACACTTTGATCTTGGCCCAGTGAAACCCACTGTGGACTTCAGAGCTCCAGAACTATCAAATAAATTTATGTTGTTTTAACCCACCAAATGTGTGGAATTTGTTACTGCAGCTAGCTACAGGAAGCACACCGTGACTAAAGGCTTAAGCGCTTGCACAGTTGGGCTCAGTCTTTCACATCTCTGTCATCGCCATGAGAATAATACATGTCACAGAGTGACACTATGAAGGTGACTATGACCACCAGCACTTCAGAAGAGAATCAGTTAACTTGATCAACTCTACTGTTAGTTTTTGTGGTAGACAGAACGATGGTCCCCTAAAAATGTCCATATCCTAATTCCTGGAGCCTGTGAATGTTGTTATTTGGCAAGGGGGAATAAGGTTGCAGGTAGAATGAAATTTGCTGATCAACTTAAAATAGGGAGGTTGTCTGGATTATGGACCAACCCAGTGTAAATAACAAGGGTCCTTAAAAGATGGAAGAGGAAAACAAAATTCAGTCACAGTGATGTGACATGAAAAAGCTTTTACTGTCTGTTTCTGGCTTTGATGACAGAGGAAGGGGCTATATGCCAAGGAATGTGGAAAAAGACAAGAAAACGAACTCCAGAGCCTTGAGAAAGGAAGGCACTTTTACTGACACCTTGATATTCAGTGAAACCCATTTTGACCTTCTGACCTCCAGAACTAAGAGATAATAAGTTGGTGGTGTTTTAAGCCAGTAACCTTGTGGTGATGTGTATTCAGCAGCAGTGGAAAACAAATACAACCTCATCAACTGGTTCTTTTTCACTGGGTGCCTCAGCAGCATCAATCCTAACATAAATCCTAACAGTATATTGAGAACAAGTTTCAGAAATTTAGCAGGGTGGGGGTAAGAGAAACAGCTGAGGCTCTGGCCCTCACTGAGACAAATTTTTCTTGTGTTTACAGATATAAGCATCAATTCCCAAAGCCATATAGAAATTTTGTCAGTTTCTGGTGTGCTGGATAACATACAGCCATGCCCAGTGGAAAGCGGGTCCCAAACATAACCATGTTTGGTGGAAACTGGGGCCTCCCCTGCTTTTTCCCCCACGGGGCTCACAAGTATATAGTCTAAGCGTGGGGGTGTCCTATCATTATACAGGGGGTTCAGTTCCAACTCCTAGTATCACATAGACCCAAGAACCCATTTCCTGTCATTATGTGTGTGATGAAACCCAAGTCCCTAGCAGCTGTTTCCTGTCTCTATCTAATAACTACCTCCAAAACAAGGAAGATATCAGGCTTCCTTGCTCTGTTTGGTTCCTTCTTTCTGCTTCTGCTGATTTTCCCTTCTTACAAGTTCAGCAATGAATTTACTTTTCTTCCTTCTCAGCTTGTTTGCTTGCTTCCTTTCTTGTAATATTTTACCCAGGATTTGAGGGTGTTTGTGCTGGAAAGGGCTCCCTATTAGTAAAGTCTGCCATGTTGCTGGAACCAGAAGTGTTTTCACACTTACATAAAAGGCACATCCTGATGATTTTCCTAAAATACATGGACTGCCCCAATGGTGAATTAAAATCTGTAGGAACAGAAAGGTGTGGGCTGCTTACAAAAACGTTTTCTCAGTGTTTCTAGTCAACAATTTTATTTTTAATTTTTTGTAAATTTGTGCCCATTCTTGGTTAGGGGGTTAACTTGGAGAAGGCACTGGGGACCATTAACTTGTAGAAGTGGGGGGGCGCTGTGACTTGAGGAAAGGATTGGACTTGTTCACTTGCTCCCAAGAGCACACTAGACCAGCCAAGCAAACTGACTATGTGAAAGGCAGAACCTTCCACAAATCACTTCAACTTGGGAGGGGTTCTCCATCCCTGAAGGTGCTCAAGCAAGCAAGTCCACCAAAGTTATGAAGACCAACATACTATTAATGAGTAGAAGAATATCTCCGCAACTCCAATCCATCCATGTTCATTCCAGGATCCCCCAGCTCAGATTTTACTAGTGTATTAATCACTACCTCAAGGATGCATGTTGCTGAGAAGCCATATGTTTGTGTAGCTTTACCACTTACTTTTAATCATCTGAACACCTAAAATAAACCTTCTGGAATCCAGAACAAGCAGTCTGAGTAGACATGAGAGAAAAATGAGCGGTTGGTTGTGTGTACATTGGTGTGTAAAAAGAAACCTATTGTTATGGCAACCAACATCCTCAACTGATGCAATCCTGTTCCCAATAATATGAGATGTGATTAAAAACTGACGTTGCAGGGAAGAAGAACACACGCAATGCACATTGGTGTAGCAACCAGAATAGTTAAATGCTGCATACATTTAAACCTGATGACCACAAAAATTTGGGAAATTTGCCTGCAACTAATAAGGAACGATTCTCCTACCTGGACTTGAAATCAGGAGCCTGGAAGTTGGACCTGTGGCCACGACCTGAAGGGATTCAATGAAATCTGGTGTGGGAGAGGGGGCTGGGGCTCTGTAATGTACGAGGAAGTGCTCTGTTTTCATCTGCATGCAATACATCATTTAGTCAACAGATACTTAATGGAGCACCCACTCGCCACCCAGCTCTGTGCTGAGTGCTAGGGATACAAAAACTAGTGTTTCCTTCTTTCCAGGGAGTTTGCAGTTTCTTAACCTCTTGAATTACTCGAGTCTGTGTGAAGCTACAGCTGTGACAAAAAAGAGGTATTCTGTGTCACAGGAATCAGAAAAGACAGATTTGAGTAGTTAGATCTTGAGGAGGCAGATAGATCAGCCAAGGGAATTGAAGCATAGAGGAGCAGTGACTTGCTCAAGGCAGCACCGCTACAGGAACGATTACTGAAAACCACAAGCCAGGAAGTAGATGACAGTTTTTACAAATGGAGAAATGGAGGACCAGGAGGATAAAGTGATGTGTCCCAGGTCACACTCTAAGCCAGTGGCAGTGGAACTATCCAAACGCAGCAGCGGCTTAATGCCGTCTTTAACCGAAGCAGCGCCGGGGTCAGCACCCACGCCGAGCGGGGCCTTCTTTCCTTAGGTCGCACAGCCGTTCGCCTCTCCTGAGGCCTTTTCAGATAGATGCTCTTTGGCTCCCCTTCCTCGGGGTGGGGGGGGGGGGGCGGGGGGCAGGAGCGGTGGGAAGGCGCGGGAAGGCGCTGGACAGCGCAGCGGCACGGCCGGGATGCTTGCAGGAGTGCAGCCTCGTCTTCTGTCACTGACCTCTCAGCCTTTGAGACCACCAGGCTCCCTCTTCCAGGTTGGTGGTCCGTGCGCCCCACTGCGCACTGCTGGCTGTGGGTGGCAGAAAGAATTGCGAATCCGCCTCGCCCGCGCAACAGTCCAGCCCCAGGGGGGAAGGGACTTTAGGCCCACGCGGCCCGGCTTCGCAGGAAGGCAAGAAGAGGGCACCGGGGCTGCCCAACCGCAAGCCAAAGACCCCCAAACCTGCGCCGCGCGCGGTCCGCGTCCGCATCCTGCAGGGAGGCGGGCCCGCCCCCCCAGTGCGCGCAGGCGCGTGCCGCGCTGGGCTCGGACCGCAGCTCGGCGCTGGGCGGCCACAGGCTGGCCTCGCAGGTAGGGAGACCGCAGGCCAGTGGCTCGGACCCCGGGGTGCAGGACCGCCGCGCAACCCGGACGCACCCCGCACGGCGAGGGCCCGGGTGTGCGGGCCGGGTGTGCTGCTCCCTCCCAGCGCCTCCAGCGTGGGGCGCGGGCTGGGGAGGAGGTTCGGGAAAGCGGGAGCCGAAGGGGGTCTGGGCGGAGTGCGGAGGGCCGGGCGGATGCGGGGCTGGAAGGCGTTCGCCGAGCTCCTGCGGGCCGCGATCTGCAGGCTGGGAGAGAGGAGGCTTCGTTTATAGAGAAATGCAATCAATTAAGAGTTTTTCATTAATAGAAGGAAGGGTGTAGTAGAGGGCGGGGTTTGGGTTTTCTTAGGAAATGGGTCATTTGGCAAACTTTCTCTTTTCCTTCCATTCATTTATGATTTTTATAACGGAAAATTGGATAATTATTATTTTTGCTGTAAAGGGAAAGAATAAAAAGAATTCCGCCATTTTGGCGTTTTTAAAAGTAATCGTCCTGCGGGGCTGACGGATCAGGGACCGCCCCGCCCGCCGCCGCCGTTTGTACCCGTCCCGGGAGGACTCGGAGGGAAGGCGGGCGGCGGGCCCGGCTCTGGAACCGGCTTCCATCCCCACGGGCGTCCCGGCCGCGTCCGGATATCTGTCTGGGGCGCGAGCTCCCAGCCCCCAACACCTAGAGCGAGGGCATTTATTGAGCGTCTGTTGTATACGTGGAGGCCTTGAAGGGCAAAGCAGCGGGCAGGGGTAGGGGCGAACTTTGGCCGACAGACCAAGAGAAAAGGAACCCAGCACATGCATTCAGTAAATATTTATTGAGCATCTGCTATGTGCCAGACACAGCTCTAGGCTGGGGATCCACAGTTGTTTTAGGTCGGGTTCCCGGGAAACAAACTCTGAGACGGAGGCTTGAGCGTAGATTTATTGGGATGCCCTTGGGAATATTACCCGAAGAGGAGGGAGGACAGCAGGGTGGTTGGGCAAGGAAGTTGAACTGTCCGTACCGGCTCTACAGAGGCCTCACCCTGTCCCAAGGGAAGCTCTGCAATTAATCAGATAGCCTTGCGGAGGTGTCCCAAATTGAGGCGAAGGGGCAGGGCCTTTATACCTGCTGTCAACTAGTCAACTGGAGAGCTCCTTCCAGGAGAGGGCACTTGGGCGAGGCAGCTCCCCTGGCGGAGGGCAATTCCGAGAGAAGCTGACAGCTGAGGGCTACCAGTGACAGCCTTCACTATAGCTGGGACCTCCCCCTTAATCCCCGCCTCCCCCAGCCTCTGAGCTGCACAGGAGAGATAGTATTCTAGTCTCTAAGGCAAGAATGGCTAAGCCATTTATGGATTTCAGTACCATTTGTTTCTTATGTCATTGACCACTCTTCACTCCCACATCTGTGAATCATTCATTCAGTGACTATTTGTGGAGTGCGATCTCTGGATCAGGCTCTCTGCGCACTGGGTGCCTTGTTCTGTCTCTGGGGGAGGAGACATTAATTCATAGTTAGATTGTGGTGGCATGGAGCACAGGAGAGTGAGTGATTTAACTTTTGGTGGGGGGTAGATTCTGGGAATGAGTCAAGCTGCATCTTGGATGATTAGGAATATTCCAGAAATATGGGCTGTGAAAAGGTACCAAGCAGAAGGAACATGTGCAGAAGCCACAAAAGTGGGGTTCTGAAGGCGTGAACAGGCTGCAGAGGTAGGAGTGGCCAGATTCCTTGCGACTGCTGAGGCCTGGGAACCACATCAGGCCAGTTGTGCTGCTGTGTGGACCGTGTGGGACAGTGCTTATGGAAATGCTGTGTAAGCTGCAAATATAGGGGGGGTATTGGTAGAGGAGGGGTGCATTTGGGTCATAGAGAGGACAGGCCTCAGAAAGGCTAATGGTCCAGTTAGGGAGAAAGAACACAGAAATAGTATGTGCCACTAGTCAGGACCCCCCTGCTACATGTGATGGGTCCCCACATCACAGGTGCACTGGATGACCCTCTTCCCTCCTGCACATTCAAGGACCTGCCTTCTAGAATTGTCCTCTTTCTCCTGCACTGTCAGTGTCTTCCTCTCTATAGGCTCATTTTCATCAGCTCACAACATACTGTAACATTTCCTATTTTTAAAAGCAAAACAACCACCACAACACCCTCTACCTTGAGACCACGTCACTCTCCAAATACCAGGCGCCATCGCCGTGCTCCCCTTCACATTCCAACTCCTTGAAAGTGTTGTTAGACCCATTGTTTTCATGTTCTCTGTTCTCTAATAGTTAGGCCAATCCTTATTGTCAGTTTATCCTCTTAGAATGTGGACTCTGTGGTGGAGGTGTCTCTTGTTCACTGACAAATCTGCATTGCCTAGCATAGTGCCTGGCACATAGCAGGTGCTCAATAAATACTGAACTAATCAACGATTTCTCTTTAGCACCAACTCTGATCAGGTTTCTCTGTCCACAGCTCTTCTGAAATGGCTCTTGTGGAGGTTTTTGATGACCTCCTTATTGCTCAAATGGTCAGCTCTTAGCTCTCCTCTGACTTGATCCTTCAGTGGCATTTAACACCACTGAGCGGTCCCACGTTCCTGAAAAATGGCCTCCTGGCTTCTCCAGAAGCCCAGACTCTCCTGCATCCCCTGTCACCTCATTGCAGACTCCTTCTAAGTCTCTATTGCTAGATCTTCCACTTCCCAACCCATAAACCTTGGTGAGCTCCAAGGCTCCCACCATTTTCTTTATTCTTGGCCCTAAGGTTTTCAAGGTCATCTCTTCGTGATGGTTTTCAAATTTATATCTTCAGCCTTGACTTTATCCCTTATTTCTAGAATGAAGGCTTCATGAGAGCAGTTAGCCTTATTTGAGACTATTCCCAGAGCACAGAGTGGTCCTGAAGCCCCGTTGGCCCTCCAGTGCGCTGAAGAGAAGGCAGCGAACCTGAACAGAAGGGCAGTCCTCTCAGCCGCCCTTCAGGGATAGCCCTGAAACGTGTGATAGGTTTGAAACAGAATGGAATTCTTCAGGAGTAACCACAGCCACTCTTCATGCCTGACAAATGTTTCGAATAAAAAGACCGACTCTGTTGAAGATAATTTAAATGGTACCAGTATGTCGTCTGTGCAAGGCAAAATAATTGGAATTGAAATTCAGGGAATTCTATTTTATAATTAGAAAAGGGGAAAACAAACCTTGGTTTGAATGTTGCCTTAATTAATCAGGTTACATACCTCACTTTTGCCTCCCTGATTATACACACCGTAATATGTAGGATAGACTCTGTACTTTAGGGAGGAAAAGCTGGAAAATAAATAAATGCAGAAGAGCAGCAGGAGGGTGGGAGAGAGAGCAAGCACTGCAAGTTGATTTTGCAAGCAAGTAGTTTATATATTATTGGTCAGAACTGCAAAGTTCCCTGGAATTTCTGTTAAAGGAGAGTGGATTGGTATTTGTTGAGGGCCTTCTGCTATCAAGATTTCACATATTTTTAAATTTAATCTTCACCAAAACCCTTTAGCTAGATACCATTACCAGGTTTGTTTTACACACGAGGAAACTGAGCTTAGAGAGGGTAAGCTACTTACTCAGAGTCACAGGTGTTAAGGAGTGGACCTGAGATTCAAACTGTCTTAACTCTGTCTTAAGACTAGGCCCACATTCTTCCTTTATCCTGTAGCCAGAAGTCACTGTCAAGTACGGCTAACACCTTAAAGCAACCAAGTATCAACACAGGGTTTTTTTAAAAGATTATTTATTGATTTTTTTTTTGCCCTGGCCTGTGAGGCTCAGTTGGTTAGAGCATCGTCCTATAGACTGAAAGATCATGGGTTTGATTGCTGGACAGGGCACATCCCCAGGTTGCAGGTTCGATCCCTGGTCCAGGCACATGCGAGAGGGCAACTGATCAATGTTTCTCTCTCACATCAATGTCTGTCTCTCTCCCCTCTCCCTCTCCTCCTTCCTCTCTCTCTAAAAGCAATGAAAAAAATGTCCTCAAGTGAGGTTAAAAATTAATTACTTATTGATTTTACAGAGAGAGAGGAAGGGAGAGAGAAAGAGATATTGTTCCACTTATTTATGCATTCATTTGGTAATTCTTGTATGTGCCCTGACAAGGGATCAAACCTGCAACCTTGGTGTGCTGTGACAATGCTCTAACCAACTAAGTTCCCCGACCACAGCTTTAACATAGTGCTTTTTTATTAACTAATTGAAATTACTGAAATCTAGCACAAATACCTGTTGAGTACCTACTGTGTGCCAGGCACCATTCTAAGTGCTGGTGATAAAGAAATGAACAAGACAGAAAACATCTTTGCCCTCATGGAACTTCCATGTATGTGGGGATGACTGATCACACAAAGAAGTCAATGAAGATTGTTACTATCAATTATAATGAAGGAAATAAACAGAGTAATGAGGTAAGCAGTAGCGAGAAGGGGTGAGGCGTGGGCTGCCATTTTGAGAGGTCAGGAAAGACCTCTTCTGATGAGGTGGATCACTAAACTGAGGCCTGGAGAATCAGAAGACGGGAGCCAAGCAGAGAGTGTGGGGAAGAACATTCCAGGCAGGAGGAACAGCAAGAGCAAAAGCTTTGAGTTGGGAACGTATGTGAAACCATAGAAGGAAACCAGAGTCTAGGGTGGAGGATGAGGTCAGAGAGGAAGAGAGGCTAAATCCTTTTGGGTAAAGCACTTCGATTTTATTTTGAGGGCAGTGAGGAACCAGTGAAGAATTTTGGATAGGGAAATTATGTGATTTACATATTAATAAGCTTTCTCTTATTGGAGAATAGACTGGAGAAGGCAGAAGAGGAAGAAAGGGAAATGGGTTAGGAGGCAATTTCTGAAGTCCAAGGAGAGCTGATGGTGGTTGGGACTAACATGGTGGCAACAGAGATGGAGAGAGATGGTCAGACTTGATATATGTTTAGAACATAGAGCCAACAGGCCCTTAAAATATGTATAAAGTTGTGCTTCCCAATACAATTAAGTATGGCCACTGTGGTTATTTAAATTTAATTCATATTAAATAAGCTTTAAGATTCTGTTTCTCAAGTCACGCTAGCCACTTTTCAAAGGCTCAGTAACCGCAAGTAAACAAGTGGCTGCAGTGTTGGACATTTCCATCATCACAGAAAATTCTGTTGGACAGTGTTGGTAAGGCATCTAGGACTGTGGCCAACACATTTTAGGAGTTAAGTCATGATAGATACTAAGCATATTTGTTATGTTACTAGGTCTTCTTTCTCCTGTATTTATCTGTTTTGCCAACTCTTCATTAAATGCCAGTACTGCCATTGCTTCGTTAAAGCGGAACCGTGCACTGCTGGGGTTCTCATACACTACCTCTTTGCTCTTCAGATGTGTGAATTTGTTCAACAGATGTTTGAGCGCCCACTCCTGCTTGGGCAGGAGTGGTGGACAGAGGGCATAAAAGAACATGATCAGGAAAAATCGCCTCCTGGGGAAACCGACGTGTGCAAGGGAGGGAGAACTTGGTGCTTGGGGGTTCTGAAACCCCAGATGGAGAAGGGTGTGATTCTAGTGGGGGTGGAGGTGCGGGTTGAGGAAGAAGGGAGCTTGGACTTGGCCTGGGCTCTGTCATGAGAGCTGGCCAGACAGAACCTTGGCTGGAAACATATTCCCCAGAGTCAGTTCTGTATGTCACAGTTGACACAGCACCCTCACGCTTGCTATCTTAAGAGACTGGGGGCAGAGCAGGGCCCTTCCTCAGCTGGGCGACCTGGTTACAGCCAGGAGCCAGACTTGATGCCGGGTTCCTAAGGCACCATTTACTCCCCATGGGCCTTATGCTTTTCTCAGAGGGTGGGTAGCTCCTCAGAGAAGCCCCCTCCCTCCCTGATTACTCTGGGGGCTGTGTTCTGAATGTAGGCCTACCGGGATGGAGGGGCATGCTGAAATGGAGATGCTGAGGACACTGAAGGGGCCCTCCACAGGGGAGGTCAGCGTGCACCTGGTGGCCGGAGACAGCCCAGGGTCCGGCCCTCACCTGCCCTCCACTGCCTTCATCATTCCAGGTGGGCCAAGCCAGGGGTCTGTGGAGGAGGGGCATTCTCCTATCTGTCAAAGCAGGTGTGGATCCTGGGGAGGAGATGGTACTTTTCACCTGCCTACACACATGCATGGCAGGATTGGGACAGTGCCACCAGGCTCACCTGTGTCGTGTCTGTGCCTGTATTTGTTCACAGCCAGCTCTGCCACCCTTGGCCTGCCCAGCAGTTCTTTGGATGTGTCCTGCTTTCCGCGGGAGCCGATCCACGTGGGCGCCCCGCAGCGAGTGACAGGCAGCGTACCTGTCACTGCCACCGTTCTGCCGCAGTTAAGCGCGGGGCCCGCGGCCAGCTCCAGCGCCAGCACTGTGCGGCTCCTGGAGTGGACCGAGGCCGAAACCCCGCCTCCTGGGGGCGGCCTGAGGGTCAGTGCCTCTGGGGATTGGCAGGGCCCAGCCAGCTGCAGCTGCGAGGTGGGGCCTGCGGTCCGGAGGCCGTGCTTGAAGCGGAAAGTGGGGGAAGCCCCCGAGATGTAGGACTCAGTGGGTGGGGCTGTGAGTGAGGGACTCTAAGGACGTGACTTGGAGTGAGGCACTCTGAGCTCGAGACAGGAGACCCGTGGGGTCCTAGAGACCTGGTTCGTGGGGAATGGGCTCTGGGGACTTGGAGTGAGGCGCCGTGGGGCTGAGACCAGCAGGTGCCTGAGGGCGTGGCTTGGAGGGAGGCACCCTAGAGCAGCGTCCTGCGGGCTGCTGGGGGCGTGGCTTGAGTGGGGATGGGGCCGCGATCTTGGGGACTGGAGATGAATCAAGGGCCAGTACCATAGTCACCATCCTGAGACCGTACTACGCTCCAGTTCCGGATAGGCGAGTACGCGCCACTGAACATGGTGGGAGCCGAGCAGCCCCCAAGCCCCGAACTGCGGCGGCAAGACATAGCCGATTACGAAGCTGGCAAGGCCCCGGCGGGAGGTGGCGATACGGGCATCCTACAGCCAGGTAGGAGCCCCAGGCCCTGAGCTGGTCCCCTGCGCGGGTGGAGCAAGGCCTGTGCTCCTTAAGGAGCCATGGTCAGGGATGAGGCCCAGGTGCCTGCAGGTGGGCCCAGGGGTTGATGCTAAGGTGGAGAAGGGTAGGGGTGGGAGGACGCGGAGGGGCTGTCCAGCAGGGGAGCCCGAGGAGGTGGGACCTAGGTGGGGGCAGGACATCAGGAGGTTAGAGCTCCAAAGTGGGAGGAGCCTGGGTGTGGCTAGGATGGGATAGGTGGCCTGAGGCCCCTTTGGCCCCCACAGGGGACCTCCCCCAGGACCCTCCTGAGGATCCCCCTGGGGAACCCCCAAAGGATGAAGGCCCCTGTCAGTGCCAGGTGTGTGAGCCTCAGCTAGCCTCCGGTCCAGATCCCGGTTCCTCCAGTGGTGGCTGTCCCCAGCTCTTCCAGGAGCGGTAAGGATCAGGGCTTACCCCTCTACTTGCTCTGCTTTTGGGCTCCAAAGCCCCATTTCTGTTTATGGCTTAGGAGAGGGGCTGGGTGGTGCCTAGTGGGTCGGTGGTTCTTTCCTTCAGCTGCCCCTCCCTCAGGTCAGTCATAGTGGAGAACTCCTCAGGCCCGAACTCCTCCTGCACGAGCACTTCTGAGCTTCTCAAACCCATGAAGAAGAGGAAACACAGGGAGTACCAGAGCCCATCAGAGGAGGAGTCAGAGCCAGACGCCATGGTAGGAAGAGGACAGGGGGAGGGAAGGGGGAGGCTAGAGGCTGTCCCTCAATTCCCACTGTCCTCTCCATCAGTCCAGGTTGTGGGGCTGGGCCAGAGAAGACCCACTCATCTTGTAGGGTCTCCTCCTGAGTCAGGTCCTGCACCTGGCGGGAGGGGCATGAATAAACACTCTCCTGCTTCCCTGGAGCTCCCATCTCAGTCTAGCATCAGGGCTAAAACACACTCCTGTGAACTGGCACCCAAGGTCGCTGTGTGGCCAGAGGGAGAGCTCTGTCTCTGGAGCCCAGTCACTAGGCCAGAGGCCAGGGAGCACAGGGCTCTATTTACAGAGAAGCTGAAAGAGACAGAGCATGAAAGTTTCAGTGGGCTGGCAAAATCAGCACAGGGCAAGTGTGTGTGTCCTGTTTCCCCACCTGGGAGTGAAGAGAATTGTAGTCAGGTTGTGTAGCTGGGGGATGGGGGGCTGCTCATGTGAGTTTGTGCCCAATGGGGAGGGGACTGTCTGCTGAAGCAGTATTCCTGCTGGTGGCCCAGAAGGAATTTCACCTGTTTGGGGCAAAACACCATGTGGTCAGAGAGCCAGGCAGCCAGGCATGGGCCAGGAGTAGTGACTGGGGCTTCTCCCAAACCCATGAGGACAAGAAGCTGGAATCAGGCTTGCCTTCCACAGGAGAAGCAAGAAGAAGGAAAGGATCCAGAGGGACGGCCCACAGCCAGCACCCCAGAAAGTGAGGAGTGGAACAGCAGCCAGCCTGGTAAGGTGGCCTATATGTACATATTTTCATGTGATGTGTGTCTACACATGTGGACATGTGAGGCTGGGAGCATAGGTTACCATTGTGATGGTGTGTTGTACATATATATGTGAGCATGAGTTAGTGTATGACAGAAAAAGAATGAGAGAAAAACAATGTTTATGCCCTGGCTGGTGTGGCTTAGTGGACTGAGCCCGGCCTATGGGCCGAAAAGTTGCCAGTTCAATTCCCAGTCAGAGCACATGCCTGGGTTGCAGGCCAGGTCCCTAGTTGGACATGTGAGAGAGGCAACCAATCACTGTTTCTCTCTCTCTCTTTCTCCCTCCTTTCCTCTCTCTCTAAAAATAAATTTAAAAAATCTTTAATAATAATAACAAAAAGATGACCCTTTACACAAGAGACTCTTTAAAAAAAGTTTATGGTTTGCATATTAGTATATGTGTGTTCTTTATTGGCGGTTATACCACGCGTTTGTTTATGCTCTGCCTAGATGTAAGTAGGCCTCACCACCAGGCTCAGTTTCCAAAGACTTGAGTATTACATGGCATTGTTTCCCTTTGGTGGTGTGAGCAAGTCTGTACTTATTGGTCTGACCTCACCGCTTTGGCCCCCATTCCGACTCTTTGGTTCTAAGAAAAATGGAACAAAGGTTATTCGTAGTCAGCTCTGGCCCTCAGGCCTTCTCCATCACCATCTCCACTGTCTGTGCCCACCTGTCTGTCCCTTGTCCACAGCGTCAGGGGAGAAGAAGGAAGGCTGGTCATGGGAGTCCTACCTTGAGGAGCAAAAGGCCATCACTGCGCCAGTCAGCCTCTTCCAGGACGTGAGTGGGACAATTTCTGCCCAGGAAATGTTTGTATTCCCAGTCAAGGGCCTCACTCACCACTCAGCTCAGGCTTTCTGGTGTTTTCTGTGTCTGATATCCTTTAAAGGACTGTCAGAATGACAAGGGGAGAAACTGGTGAGGGGCTAAAAGTAGAAAAGAGCCCACCAAAAAGGATGTCCAGGGTGGGAAGAAAGAGGGAGGGGGAACCTGGGCTCACCCAAGGCTGGTCCTGCAGGCTTTGGAAATCTGGTGCCTGCTACTCAATTCTGTAAGCTGATCTTTTAAGGACTTGGGTAAGAGGGAGCCCTTAAGTCCAGCCTTGACTCACCCCACATTTTTCAAGGGACCTGAGGGCCATTCTGTCCCCCTGCACTGAAGACCCCCAAATAAGTTATCCGTTTGGTTGTCCCAGGCGGGTGGGGCCTAAAGGAGCTCCTTCACCCCAAGCCCACTAGGCAAGGATAAGGCTGGATGGAAGCTGGGTCCTCTCCAATCTGTGCGTTGACAGTACCAGGCAGTCTCTCATCACAAGAATGGCTTCAGACTGGGCATGAAGTTGGAAGGCATCGACCCTCAGCACCCATCCATGTACTTCATCCTCACCGTGGCCGAGGTGAGCGGGGTGCACGTTGCCGTTCTGATGACGTCTCTCAGGGTAGACGGATGGAGCCTGCCCAGGGCACGGAGGGCCTGGACTCAGATCAGGGAGACACTGTCCTGCCCTCAGAAAGAACACAGTCTAGTGGGGGGCTAAGGTGGAACACACAGAAAGCCAAAAAATGAACAAAAATGAGGCGAAGTGTGAGGGTGGTGATGGCACTGAATGGTGAGTGTGTCGGTGCTGGGGGAGCTTGAGGAGACCCTGAGGTTGGGGGGGTCGGCATGAATCCCCCAAGGCCCTTGTCCCCTAGGGGCTTACAGTTGTGTGGGAATCAGCCAGGTTAACGTATCAGCAACGTACCACAGGCGTGGGACAGACGTGTGCAGAGAGGCACTGAGGAGGCAGGAGAAGCTTCACAGAGGAAGGGTCTCCTTTGCTGAGGCTTGAGAGATGATTGTGAATGACTCGGGTGTCCCAGGCAGAGGCAACCAAGAGAGCAAAGGCGCGGGGACATGGAACAGGCCGCATGTTCAAGGAGCTGCCACTAGCTCCGTGCGGCCAGAACAGAGCGTGCGAGCAGGGAGCAGTGAGAGAAGGGGGCAGAAGAAAAGGTCACTGGGGCCCTGAGCAGGCCCGAGCCCCGGGAGGTGCCCTTGGGGCTCTGGCATGGGATGTGCCTGTTTTGTACCCGGAACTCAGGGCTCATGGGTACATGAGCTTTCCTCAGAGCAGGACGGGAGAGTGTGGGACAAGGTTCCGGCTGGGGGGAAACCTGGGAGTGAAAGGCGGTGGGGAGCCTGCCAGCATTAGAGCCCTGAGGTGGCCAGGCTGGGCAGCCGAGGTGAGGGCGGGGGCGGGGGGTCTTCTGGCATCGGAGTCCCTGCGATTCCCCATCATGGGGCCCAGGTGTGTGGCTACCGCCTCCGTCTGCACTTTGATGGGTATGCCGAGTGCCATGACTTCTGGATCAATGCCAACTCCCCTGACATCCACCCTGCCGGCTGGTTTGAGAAGACAGGGCACAGGCTGCAGCCCCCCAAAGGTAAGGCCTCGCTGGGTTGGTCACGTGTGGCGGTAGCCCTCACACCCACCCCTCCTTCCCTGGCACCCTCCCCTTTCCCCATTGGACAGCGAGCCCCTCCTCACCTCCTGCCGTGTCTTGGCCCCAGGGCTTAGGCCTTGCCCTGGCCTTTGAGTGTCCACGCAGGTTGTGTCCTGCTTGGCAGGGGGCCCACCCTGGTCAGGGTCTCGAGGGTTGTGGGGTCCTCAGGCCCGCCCAATTCTGCTGCTTTAGTGTGGGGTGCCCTTGCCACAGCCCAGCCTCTGCACGGCGCTCTGTTCGTCCCCCCCGAGGGGCCTAGGTTACAAGGAGGAGGAGTTCAGCTGGAGTCAGTACCTGCGCAGCACAAGAGCTCAGGCTGCCCCCAAGCACCTGTTTGTGAGCCAGAGCCACGTGAGTGCCCCTGAGCCAGAGTGGACACCTGCCCCGGGGACAGAGTCACTGCAGCTGGCCCAGGGTGTCTGACTTAACAAGGAGAGCTTGTCTGTCGGTTCCCTCCGCTCTGTCTGGTCTCTCTTACCAAGTGGGAGGGGCACGCTGGGCAGGCCAAGGCCAGAGGGGGCAGCTGGGCACAGGTTCTCCCCTAGTTCCCTCTACAGAATCCCCTCCTCCGCACGTCCCCTTGGAGGCCTGGTGGGGTGTCTCAGCCTGGGCTCTGAGGTATCACCGCTCTTGTTTCTCCCTTTGGTTTGCTGTATAGTTCTCTGTGTGAGGCCCAAGCCTCTATCCCGGGAGCTGCTTTTTCTTTCACTTTGTCTGACATCGAGGTTCTCCCATTTAGTCCCAGCAGCTCACCCCTAGTCTTTTTCTCTGTTCAAGGCAGCTGGCAGCTTTACCCAGCAGTTCAAGTATCTCCTAATCCCAAGGAAAAGGTCTGGAGATACAGGGAACTCCCATTAAAAATAGCACCGTATCAGGGGACTTAAAAAATGGTAATGGAAATAATGTAATAAAGATTATATATTTTAAAAAAATATCACCATATCTATCAAAAGTCCAGCCAGGGACCCTGATAAGCTATTTAGGCAGTTATTCCACACCCCGCCCAGTTTAGGCCCAGAGACCTTACTTGCAGATTCCCAAGTGACTGCAGGGCATCCCCCACACGGTGGGGTTCTATCCACCATTGGCTAGCATTGTGGTCCTGGGCAAGTTATTTAACTTACAAAATGGGGATGGTGACAGCTATCCCATGGGGTAAGGGAGGCTGTGCTCAGCCTGACACTGTTTGGGTGAATGTGTATCCTCCTGCTGGTCACTCCTCTTTCTGCCATGGTGAGGCTTCCTCTGGATGTACCCGGGAGGCTAGAAGTTTCTGAGTGTCTCTAGGCTGGGGAATTACAATTTTGCCTATTTCTCCCACCCCCAACCCTCAGCGTGACGCTTAGGGAACCCACTCCTTCCCTTGCCAGCGGGCTCTGGGTTAGCACGAGCCTGCCTGGCTTGGCCGTGGCAGCCCCTCTTTTTGCCCCCAGACTCCCCCACCTCTGGGCTTCCAGGTGGGCATGAAGCTGGAGGCTGTCGACCGCATGAACCCGTCCCTCGTCTGTGTGGCCAGCGTGACCGATGTGGTGGGCAGCCGCTTCCTGGTGCACTTTGACAACTGGGACGATACTTACGATTACTGGTAGTGGGAGGGCCCCGACTTGGCTGGGGGGCAGGAGGGGATGGCGAGGGGGTGGTGATGGTATGGCAGGGGGCGGGCGGCTAGACTTTGAAAACTTACACACCGTGTGGCCCCCCCCAGCCCTGGCCTTCATATTTGTTCAGGGGAATAATTGACTGTCCTGTGGATTTGATCCGTATCATAAGAAACACAATGCACTATTAGATGTATCATCTAAAAATACCAAGGTTGGGATGTGCAGACCACTGTGATTCATGATTTGCCTTTAGATAGGATGGTGGTGTTAGAGCTGTTAGTTAGTGCTACAGTTTTCTGACTTTCTCATCAGCTCTCTGTCTAACTCTCACTAAGAAGTACAGTTGGGGGGCCCTGGCGCCGTGCTGTCGTAGGACAGCAGGTTCAGCGCCTCCAAGTTTCACCTGCGACAGTGCTGTATTCTTGGGTTTCAGGTGTGATCCCAGCAGCCCCTATATCCACCCGGTGGGCTGGTGCCAGAAGCAAGGAAAGCCCCTCACACCTCCACAAGGTGACCGTGTGGCCCGGCCCCCCAGCCCTCTCCCCTGACCCTGTACCAGGACCTCATTAGCTGTGAGGGGACAGATGTGTCCTGGAGCCTCAGTTTCTGTCCCTGGGGGTTGAGACCCCTTTAATTTTAGGAGAGTCCTGTCAAACCCGATTGTGTGGAGGTTTAAGGCAAGAAAGTTAGATAAACCCCGTCCCCCCACGCAGGGACACAGGAGTCCTGAGCGAAGAAAGTGCACCCTTCTCTTCCAGAGTATTACTTGGGTCCACATACCATAGAGGTTCAGATGGGGCTGGGCTGGGCTGGAGCTGGAGCAACAGGGCAGGGGAAAGGGGTGGGTGCCAGGGTTCCCAGACAGCCCTGTAACCTGGGAGGTGGTAAGGTGCTTGCTAGCACCATCTGCCCCGGGAGCCCCCTGCAAGGAGCTGGCCATGGTGATGGTGGGGGAGATTGTCTTCCACAAGCCACTGTCTCTTCCGTGCTCCTGGTCCTTGTTGGGGCAGAGAACTCGCCCAATATGCCTGGGTTCTAGACACTGCTCTCCTCCTCTCCTCCAGACTACCCAGACCCTGATAGTTTCTGCTGGGAGAAATATCTGGAAGAAACCGGGACCTCTGCTGTGCCTTCCTGGGCCTTCAAGGTGGTGAGTTGGCTCTCCCTGCCCTCCATGAAGCTGAGCTCAGGAAGGCTTGGAGCCCTCGGTCAGCTAGGATGGGGCCCCACCCCAGCCCCTTTGGCAGGCCCCAGTTTTCCAGGCACAGCCCTTGGCCTCCCTTCTTGGGGCCCCAGCACTGCTGAACTGGGCGTTGACCTGAGGCTGCTGTCCCCCTGCAGCGACCCCCACACAGCTTTCTGGTCAACATGAAGCTGGAGGCCGTGGACCGCAGGAACCCAGCCCTGATCCGTGTGGCCAGTGTGGAGGATGTGGAGGACCATCGAATAAAGGTGGCTCTGGGACCCTTGGGCTGGGGAAGCAAACAGACCGATGGGACAGAAATTCTGTTGATTAATTCGAAGTCAAGGGCATGGCATGAGCCAGACATAAGAGTGGTTGCATGTTGTGGTGAAGAGAGGTCTAAACTTGAGGTCAAAGACCTTGGATCTCATTCTAGCACCATCTGTAACTTACCTTTGTGGGCTTGAGCAAGTCATTTCCCTCCTCTGAGCCGTCACATTCTACCTATAAAATGGACCTAATAACTCTAGTCCTAAGCAAGGATTGATGGGAGATGCCCATAACTCAATGAGCAAAGCCCTTGGAAAACATGGTGGCCCAGATGGATTATCATGGAGTTGGCCCCTTGATTCTTCCAGTCCAGGATCTTGCTTCTGACAGGCCCCGGGGATGGGGGGAGCCTCGTGGAACCTGCAGGACCTTTCAGCTGAGCTGGGCTCCACAAGGAGTGGCTGACCGCCAAGGGCCTTTCTTCCCCAGCTCCACTTTGACGGCTGGAGCCACACCTATGACTTCTGGATCGATGCCGACCACCCAGACATCCACCCTGCCGGCTGGTGCTCCAAGACAGGGCATCCCCTGCAGCCTCCTCTCCGTGTGTATCGCTGGGGCACTCTCGTCCTTTCCTGCTGATGTCCAGCCCCAACCACCCCAAGCTCTTACCTCCCCTCCCTGACAGCACACCCAGGCCTGACACAGAGGGCCCTGGTGGCCACAGCAAGCTCTGAGCCCACACATGCTCCCTGCCCTGGGGTTCCCGCTGTACCGAGCACTGCCTCTGGCTTCGCCAGCTGTTGGGTCTGGGGTATTGAGGTATGAAGGGGAAACTCACTCAGGAGCATGTGCTTAAGGTAGTTACAGACCAGGGAGTTAGTTCTCTCAGCTTCTTGCAGAACCACACAGAGCATGCATGGCATCTGCTAAGGGCGTGCTGGTTCCATTAAATAAAATCTCCATCCCCACAGGCAGGGGTTAGAGGTCAGATCATTGGACTGCTCAGCCCTAGTTCTCACCCTCAGGATTTCCCAATCCCCCTCCCTATTTCCCTGCTGCTGCCTCACCTGTCTCACATGGGTGCTGATCTTTCTCAATCACTCTCCAAGCATGGGCAGAGCCTAAAAAAATTACCAGAGTCTGGGGGATGGAAGAGGGAAACAAGCAGACAATAACGTGAATCTGCCTGACGTGGCTCCTAAGGTCCTGACGTGCCCACACCACCTCTGCATTGATCTTCCCCGCAAAGAGACAGAGGGCATGCCCTGCAGGTTTCACCCAAGTACATGAGAGCCAAGCCCCTCACTCCCCACAGAGGGGTAGATCCCAGTAGCAGGAAATGGCGTCACCGCCCAGCTCGGGGCCCCTGTACTTGGGGAACTAGTGCCCAGTGCTGACCTTCCCCATGGAAACAGCTTCTGGCCCGCTCTCCATTCACCCCAGCCCACCCCAGCCCCAGGACCCTATGCTGACTCTTTTCTTCTGCTCCTCCAGGACCCAGAGAGCCCAGCGCTGCCTCCCCCGGGGGCTGTCCCCCTCTCAGCTATCGGAGCCTGCCGCCCACGAGGACCTCCAAGTACAGCTTCCACCACCGGTGAGGGATGGGCTCCTGCCAAGAGGCCCTCAGGCATTGTCCAGAGAGGGTCTGTTTTACACCTACTGTGTGTGGCCCAGCAGGGTCCACTAAAGACTGTCTCCGAAGGGGGCCGGGGTTGGACAGGGCTAATGAGAACAAGTGCATTCAGCCCAACATACGTGCCCTCTTCTTCCCCAGGAAGTGCCCCACTCCTGGTTGTGACGGGTCTGGCCACGTCACAGGCAAGTTCACGGCTCACCATTGCCTCTCGGGTTGCCCGCTGGCTGAGAGGAACCAGAGCCGGCTGAAGGCAGAGCTGTCTGACTCGGAGGCTTCGGCCCGTAAGAGGAACCTCTCGGGCTTCTCCCTAAGGAAGAAGCCCCGCCATCACGGCCGGTGCGGAGGGCAAGGGTGCAGGGCCTCGTGTCCTCTGGGGCCGGGCCAGGCGCTGATTCCCCACCATGGACCTGGTCCCTCTCTCTCCAGGATTGGGCGCCCTCCAAAGTTTCGGAAGATGCCACAGGAAGATTTCCCGAGTAAGTCCAGGGTCGTTTACTCCTGTGGCCTCCACAGAGTGTTTATAGTTGGTAGGATGGCAGGATGGCGCGGTCCAGAGAAGGAGAAGCTAGAAGGGGAGTTGAGTCTCTTCATTTGAGATACTTGGGGAGCACAGAGCAGGGGCAGGAGTACAGACAGGGCCTTGAATGATCACAGGTTCTAGCCCCCTTTCACCCATGGCCTTGCCAGGAGTCTGTGGGAAAGTCTAGTTTTCCACTGTGAGGTTGGATGATGCCCCCAGTTCTGTTCTTCTTAATTCTAGGTTCCCTGGGAGTGACCTTGAGCAAGTCACGTGGCCTCCTTGAGCCTCAGTTTCCTCATTAGAAAACATGAATAACTGTCTTTCAGGTGCCAACTACCTGAAATAATAGCGGTTACTGCCAGGGTGGACTGAGCACCCAATAGGCCAGGCACTGTTTCGGGTGCTTTGCATACACTGTCGCTGACTCCCACAAGCATCCTGTAACGAGGCTATCCTTCTCTCCTTCTGGGAGAAGACTGAGATGTCATTTGCCCGAGCTCCTTCACTTTGTAAGGAGCGGAGCTGGGATTCAAGCACAGGTCTGACTTCTCCTGCTACGAGCTGCTGATATAACAGACATAAAGCACCTAACCAGAGTGTCACTTTATTTCCCATCCCCCTTTGGCTTAGCTTGGCTGTCGTAACGCCAGACCTGGGGGCTTCAACAACAGGAACTTAATTTCTCACACTTTTGGAAGCTAAAAGTCTAAGATCAAAGTACGGAAAGGTTTGATTTCTTCGGAGGCCTCTCTCCTTGGCCTGCAGATGTCTGCCTTCCCACTGTGCCCTCGCCTGGGCTTTCCTCTATACCTGTGTGCCCCACCCCCGCAACATCTCTGTGTGTGTCCAAAAGTCTTTTTCGTGTAAGAACATTGGTCAGACTGGATTAGAGCCCACCCTAATGACCTTATTTTAACTTAACCACCATTTTAAAGGCTCTTCCTCCACTTACAGTCACGTTCTGAAGTACCGGAGGCGGGGATTTTAACATATGAATTTGGGGGGGGTACAGCTTAGCCCGCAGCAGCCTTCAAGGGCGGGGTCAGGGTGGCTGAGCCCTCCGCTGCATGATGAATTCATGTCACATCTTTGGCCAGTAGCAAAGGGCCTGATACACAGCCGGGACACTGGGGATCTTGCCTCAGTTGAGTTGAATGTACATCGTTTTAAGACAAGAAGAGACCGTGAGCAACCACCTGGTTCATTGCATTTCTGGGCAGCACCCAAGCTGTTCAAGTGAGCCTGGAAAACCTTGAGCAGGTGATGCTGCCTCTCTGAGCCTCGGTTTCTTCATCTGTAAAATGCTGATGATGATAGTGCCCATTTTAAAGGGAGGCTTAAATGCAATGGTCACGTAAAGTGCTTAAGAACCTGCAGGGATTCTTGCTAGTCCTGATCTCCTGCCTGACTCCCTCTTGCTGTTGCTCCCAACTGTTTCCTCTTGCTGGAGACAGAAGGCGATTCCTGCAGCCCCGGCCAGGCTGGGGGGTGCCTTGGCCTGCCTCCAGGCCCTCAGAGTGAGGACTTGGGGGGATGGGACCGCAGTGGGCACCTCTTCTACCTGCCTGTGGAATACCTGGTTGGCTCCGTTGTAGGGCCACGTTCTGACCACTAGTGGGTGCGTGCATATTGTGTTCATTCCAGAAATTTCCGGAGCACTAGGGAAGTTAAGTCTTCCCAGAGACCGAGGCTCTGGCCCAGAGAGGGCCTCCAAGCCCTTTAGGAACAGAGCAGGGGACACAGCTCAGGCTTCTCACCTCTGTGCAGGGCTCCCGTGTTCTACCGGCTGGCTGTCTCACAGAGGACACCCTGGTCACTCTGGGTTGTGTTCCAGAGGCTTCTCACACGTCCATGGGCAGACGTCCTCGGTGTGGGCTCCAGAGGAAGGCTGCCTGCAGAGGACGGACTTAGCTGTGCTCCCCCGGCTCCTAGGGCACCCCCGCCCCCTGAGTGTCAGGGTTTGAAAGAACAGGAAAAAACCATGGAAATTTCCTTCCCCAACCTGTTCCTGTACAGGTTGGGAAACGGAGGTCCACGTTATGTACCTTGCCCAGCATTAAAGAGCACGTTATAAGAGCCCAAAAGGGCTTAGGGGGGGACAAACAGAACGGGCTTCCAATGCTTGGGCTGCGCTTGCTTGGATGTCAGGGGCCACCTGGATGCGAGGTATCTAGCGACTGACTGGTACCAGGATGTTGGAAGGCCCAGTGGTGTGGCCTCAGAGGGACGGGGTAGGATCAGTCCAAACAGCCGACCTGAGAGTCTGTAAAGTGAGGAACCCGCTTTACCGGAAGGAGCGAGCCCCGGATGAGAAGTCCGATCAGGACCGCCCTCTTGGTCACGGTCCTCCTGAGCGGCATGGGGATGAGCAGGCTTTGGGGCAGGTTCGACCTCAGCACCGGCCTGTCAGCCTCTGCCTCTGCTTTCCAGCACTAACGACCGATGTCATCCACCAGTCCCTCTTCATGTCAGCCCTGTCGGCCCACCCGGACCGGTCCCTCTCGGTGTGCTGGGAGCAGCATTGCAAGCTCCTGCCGGGGGTGGCGGGCATCTCGGCCTCGACTGTCGCCAAGTGGACCATCGACGAGGTGAGGAGTGCGGGCCCCTCACTCTTTTCCCTCCCCCACTGTACCCTGTCACCATGACCCCCTGGTTTAGGAGACCCCCCCCAACCGCTGGGCAGAGCTGGGCACTGCCCCTGACTCTGTCTCCAGCTCATCTCCCAAGTACATAGTCCCTCCTGGCTGCCCAGTGGGGACTGACAGGGAGACTGTTCCTTAGGCCCATCCTGGTGGATGGGGAGGGGCAGGCTGCTAGTCCAGCTGGAAATCCAGCAGCAGGGAGATGCAAGGATCCTCTTAGGCTGATAATTAAAAGCAACATTGTCACAGTCCAGATGGTGCCAAGGCCACAGAAGCACACCTCTCCCCTGTACTCCCGGGCCTGTCTCCTTGGCAACGTGTGTTCTTTGATTTTCAAGGTCTCCGGCTTTGTTCAGACTCTGACAGGTTGTGAGGACCAAGCACGACTCTTCAAAGATGAGGTAAGTGAGGCAGGTGCAAGTGCAGAGTGGGGACAGAGAAAGGTCACTCGCGGAGACGGCAGGATACCCATGCTGCCCTCAGATAGGGGTGGCCCTCGGTCGTCCCACCTGGGGAAGAGTAGTCACAGTGACCACATCTCTGGGAAGAACCTGGTATGGGCCGTGGCCCAGCTTGGGAAGTCCCTGCAGTCAGACTGGCCCCAGGAGGGAAGAAGCAGCCTGGAGACCAGGACCCACCCACCCCTCTGCTCTCTGCCCAGTCTTTTCTGTTTCAAACTTACCTTCAGTCAGTACATTAAAGTGTATTTTGAATGGCACAGGTACTGCCATTTACTGCAAGGATCCTAACGTACACTTAAAATCAAGGCCCAAAAGCTCCCCAGAGGTAAGAAGTAGTGAGTTGTAGATAAAAGAATGCCAGCTTTGCAGGCAGTCGGATTTGAGTCCCAGTTCTGCCAATTAAAGCTTTTTACTGTCCCTGAACCTTCATCTTTTATGTGTAAAATTGAGAAAAAATAAGTATTATAATGATGCTTATTTTTCAAGGCCATTGTGAGCATTGGCAATGATGAGTGGATCATTGTATCAGAATGTATAGGATAATTATACCACTAGTATAGATGTGATTATATATTATATTACTATACAGTAATATACAGGGTCTGGCACAAATAACACCCCTTTTTTATTACAAAATCTTTTATTACAAAATCATAAGCATGTAATTCTGTAACATAACAGTATCATACTCAAGCACACCATATGACATTTTAGGTGAAATGTTCAAATTAAAACTATAAATTATTACCCCCATATTATTTCCCTACCAACCACATCTGAGCAGGCCTCACTTCTGCCGGCCCCTGTATATTATGCTATATTAAGATTATATATATATATATATATATAACATTACAGAGTAATATATAAATCATATCACTGTACCAAAATAACTGGTACAGTGGGGGTTCAATCAATAATTGTTCTTTAAATGTGTAGTTGTCCTTAAATGAAGAACTTTATTGTGGCTGTCCTACTTTGTGGAGTTTGAAAGTAGAAGGGACCTTTGAGCTTGTTTAGGTCTCCCTTCCCAAGAACGCACGCATCGTCCTTCTCTCAGGGAAGTGTAGTTTCTGCTCTCCGAGGAGGCCTCCTGCACGTGGAAGCCCATGAGAAGGAAGTCTGCCCCCCTTCCCACCGCAGACCCACCCCAGTCTCTTCATCAGATCCTTGTGGGGTGGGGCTCTAACTCCTCCCCATTCTGGGTGCACTCCTCCCCAGCTGGGTTTCTTACGGTAGCAGTGGGTGTCCGGAGCTGCACCTGCGTTTCACACACCCTCTGACCGGCACAGAACACCTGGGTTAGATGTGTTTCGCTTTTTTTCAAAAGACTTTGTTACCTTAGAGCAGTTTCAGGTTCACAGCAAAGCTGAGAGAAACACACCCATCTTAAAAGTACACTTCCACAAGTTTTGTGAAATGTATTCACTCTGAACCCAAGGCTTCGGTCAAGATGTGAAACATTTCCGTCGCACCAGAAAGTTCTTTCTCGGCCCCTTTCGTCAGTCCCCAATGTCACAGGCACCTGCTGTTCTCCTTTCTAGCACCACAGGTTAATTTTGCCTGCCCTTGGACTTCATATAAATGGAATCATACAGCATGCATGCTGTGTTGTCTGTCTCTTTTCATTCAGTGAAATGTTTCTGAGGTTCATTCATGTTTATTGTGTATATCAGTAGTTTGTTCATTTTTATTGTTGAGTAGTGCTCCATTTTATGAATATTCCACAGTTAAGAGACATTTTGTTTTCCCCTCAGTTTGAACCCTACATTTGTGTGAGCAAAACTTAAGATTGCACTTGCTTTATTATAGCTACATCATACAAGTTTGGGGATCATGCAAGTCCCCAAGTGCTTTTTTATATCAATTATCCATTATAGTCTAGACAAATTTTCCAGTGTGTTACTTGTACCACTGGGGTTTTTTAAATTAATCTAATGTAAGACTTTACATTTCTCCCTATTAAATGTTACCTTGTTTGTTTCATAGTCTCATTGTTTTAAATCTTAACTCTGGTCATCTCTGTTATTAATAAGCCTTTCCAGCCTCTGTCTTCTGTGTCGTAAGCGAAGTCTTCCCGACATGTGTTCATGAGACAGAGCAGAACCATGTGGCATCGATTAGAGACCTTCCTTTATGTGACAAAAGGTCATAAATGCATGCTCTTTGAGTCTGTTCGTTCAGCCGGTGCTGAGCCACCTGCCGAGTCACCCAGGAGTTGAATCCTCTAGCCTATGCTGGGCTTTGCATTGTCCCCTTGTTGGGAGAAGAGCTGTCTCTCCCAGGAACATATGCAATACGTCTCCGTTCAACATGTTCTGTGGTACAAAAAAGCAATGGCCAGAGCGGGAAAGTTGTGCTGGTGGACGGACAGTATCTAACAGAGTCTCAGGGTAGACCTTCATGGGGACCGAGGACTGCCTTCTCCAAGCTCTAGTCCATGTCATCAGTCTCCCCAAGGAGTGAACTTATGCAGTCCGCGCCTTCAGGGACACTGGTCAAGATGCCCTCCAGCCACGGTGCAGACCAGTCAGTAGAGGGACGCTTCACAAGTGAGGAATCAGAGCAAAGCAGATAGGCAGCCTATGGGCAGTCCTTCCAGTCCGGTAGCTGGCACTCATGGTCCTAAGCAAAGCCTGACCTGTCCTCTTAGTCATCTTTATCGTAGCCCTGTGTGTTTGGTAAATGTGTTCAGTACCGATGCCTGCTCTGTGCCTGGCCCCATAGAAGGTGACAAGGATACAGAAGAAAAAGAGCAGAAGTCCCCGCTCTCAAGGCCCCCCATGCAGCAGGGGAGACAGAACAGTACATTGCTGCTTGCGGTGGCATGCGGTAAGGGCTCCGAGGGAGGTGTGTGCCGGCGCAATGGGGGCTCCCAAGGGGAGGACGGAGAGGGGCCAAGAGGCTCCGCTGACTGTGCAGCCGAGAGGCACCGGCAACCACCTGTTCCCTGGGTGTCCCTTTCTCTTGGGGTCCTGTGAGCCATGTCTTTCTGTTGTGGTGGCATAGAAGTCTCCTCACCAGGTTTTGATACTCTGCTTAGATTTTAGCTTGGCCTCTGTTAAACATTCCACGTGTGGCTTTCTAAGGATCATCTGAGGTTACCTTAACTCAGGAAATTCCCCAGTGCTGTCCCCAGCTCTTGGGCTATTGCTGAGGATGGATTATTGTACTTGGCTCATTTAATTCATTTTCCTGGTGAATTCCTCTACCTTCAAGGTCAAATATGACCCTGCCAATGTTATGGCTCAACACTCGCCATATATGTTAGCACACATACAATGTCTTGTATGTTTTTCAATAGTCCCATTGTTCCCAAACTGCTAGACTACAAACTCCAACCTTTGCTTTGAAGAACTAGAATTGGCCCCAGCAGCTACAGTAGTGAGGAGTCTCTGAGTGATGCACAGGAACCCTTGAAACAAGTCTTGTCCATGTGCCCTTTTGGATTTGTTTCATTGCTGCCTTGTGGCGTCATTCAACTTGTTCCAACATCCCCTGTATTTCCCATAAGCTGGAAGTTAGATCCAAAGGCTTGGTTAGATTTAGATTAAAACAATCTCCACCCCCACCCGCCCCCGCTCCCCTTCCTCTCTCTCTCTCTCATAGCTCATAGTAATACTGTAATGCATTGATTGGAATGCCCACATGTCTGTTAACAGGACTAAGATTGACCAGTGGGTTCATGTGGGGACAGTGACAGCAGGTTTTTTGAAGCTGTATCAGTGAGGACTCAGAAAACATTATGCAAAAACATACTGAAGTCCAGACCAGTCAGTAGTGTGTGTGTGTGCGCACGCGCGCGCGTGAACATGGGGAAACCATTGGATATTTTTCTTTCCTTCTCTGTCCCCATTGCTGTCTTCCTTTTTTCCTTTCTCCCTCCCTTCTCCTTTCTCCCTTTCCTTCTTCTTTCCCTCTCCCTCTTCCTTTCCTTCCCCCCTCATTCCCTTTACTCCCATTTCCCTTCTCCCCTCCCGCCTCCCCATGCACATGCCCACCTTCCTTCACTCCTTCCCAATGACCCTCTCCGCCTTCTCCACTTTCCACCTCCCTCCCCCAACCCTCAGATGATTGACGGCGAGGCCTTCCTTTTGCTGACACAGGCGGACATTGTGAAGATCATGAGCGTCAAGCTGGGCCCAGCCTTGAAGATCTATAACGCCATTCTCATGTTCAAAAACGCCGATGACACCTTAAAGTGACTGGCACAGGGCCGGGCCCTCCTCCAGCCCCAGCTGGGCCTCCCTCTGCGCCTGATGCTTCCTTCCTTCCCGAATCAAGTTCCTCATATCCCACCTGTGTCCCCGCCACCCTTTGTATCTGACCAGGGGTGGTCCCTCTTCTCTCTGGGGCTGCTTCCTACATGGTACATGGGAGCAGAGGAGCTCTGGGGAAGATGGAGTCCCAGCCCCCAAGTCCTGGAGCTCATCGGCCACCAGGCACCCCAGTGAGGGTGTGACTGCGCTGGGGGAGCATTATTGATGGAGTAGGGAGGGGGTGCCCTGCCTGTGGCTGCCCCATGTCTCTAGCCAACTAGTTTTATCACCAAAGGGTCTTTTTTGTTAGCAGTTCAGAACAGTCTGGTAGAATGGGAGACACGTTTTAGCATCCCTCTGTGTTTTTCTTTCCTTATCTCCTTTCCCCTACTAAGAAGTGACCGTGCCACACACATATTTACTCAAAAAGACACCTCTCCACCTCCAGACTCCTGTGCTGCTCTTATCTGGCCGCCCGGTTTCCTGGGCAGGGCCACCCGCCAAGGCCCAGCCAGACCCTGCTGGCTCTTCCCCGGAGGTGGGTGAGCCTCAGAAACATGTTTTCATAGGACCCAGTGGGGGTCTCGGCTGCCTTTCTCCCTTTTACCCGGAAGCGAGGGATTCCGAGCCCCGATACCTTCCTAAACACGCCCAGTTCTGGGTCGCTTGGCATTTTCAGTGCCCCACGTCACGTCCTGTTTGCAGCAGAGTGGGTGGTTAGAGCACTTCGGCCCTGCAGCAGAGGGTAAGGTCCCGTGGCCATTCCCCGTGCACTGTTACTGTTTCAGGTGTGGGGAAGAGGCAGCCTGGCTGGCTGGGTAGCCACAGCCAGCCTCAGGGTATGTCAGACAATCTCAGATCTTTGGTCAGAGGGGCATCTCCAGCAGGCATGGTGGCTCCCAAAGCTGGGCATAGCATCCTCCTCTGCAGCCATGGGTCTCAGCCAAGGTGTGGCCCACAGTGGGAGGGGAAGGGGCATGCCTGCCTGGCCTCCTGTCTTGGGAATGTAGCACTCTGTCTAGCACAGGCACACCCTATAGCATCACATCGACCTGTCCCTTAAATGCCCTGCTCTTGAGGCATTATGGAGAGATGACTTGAAGTTGAGAGCTGGGAAGATGAATTCTGTCTTTGACCTCTCTGTGTTCCTTAAGCCTTTCTTACTACTCTCCATCAGTGTTGCACTGCCAGCCAGGTGCCTGCTGGGACTCTGGGACTTCGACCTTTCTGTCCCAGCGGAGCCCGGTCTCCACTGAGCCACTGCCAACTCTGCCTGTGGCCTGGGAACGGGCCCCACATGGAGGCGAGGAGCAGCTGCCAAGCTCCCACGGCCTGCAGGGTGTGGAGCTGGGGGGTGGGGTCCTTCCCCACACCTGCCCTGCTGGTCGTGATGTGTGAGTGTGTGTGTGTGTGAGCAGGCACGTGCAGGGCACTCTCAGAAGTGTTTGACAGGGTGTTGATAGGAGGCTCAGCGCTGGGAAAATGTCAAGGGCTATTACTCTTCAAATATGCAGTTATCTTTCCTGTAGTGGAAGGAAACCCAAAATTTAGTTGATTTCCTGCCCCAGCCCTCTAAGGGGCCCTCTCTCACAAGGGACAGATAGCTTTGCTGGCAGCCATTCAGCACCCCCATCGAGCCCCCATCCCTGGGGCTTTAGACATTCCTTCCCTTTCCGCCCTTAGGGGCCGCTCTTAGCACAACCTTCCCGGGAGGATAGGGGCAGGACTTGCCTCAGGCTGAGGGGCGGGTTTACAGAGGTTGCGAGGGTGTCACTGTTGGCCAAGAGTAAGGCCGAGCAAGTCTCGGCCTCTCTATCTGGGCTGCTTGGGTGGTGGCAAATCTCTCCAGTCCTTTGGTTTTGTCTCTGTCTGAGACTGAGGAGAGGCTTGCTGGCTTTGTGGTGTGAGCAGAAGGCAGCAAATACACACAGCTGAGCGGGGCTGGGACACCTTTGCCATGTGGATTTTGCAACCATGCTCTTAATGCCTGGAAAGGCAGGAGGAACCATGGGCCTTGGAGAAAAGCGCCCTAGGCCCCTAAACTTTGAGGCCTCAGCACTTTCTGCACCAACGTCAAACTCTTTGATAAAAAACGAAATCATTTAAAAAGAGAAAGAAATCTGCCTTCTGTCCACCCCTCTATGCCTTCCTATCCCCAGCTGAGATCATCGCACCTTGACCTGGAGCCCGGTTAGGGGAGGGCATTGGCATCGGTGCCTGGTGCCATGTGACCTCTGCCTGGCTCTGCAGCAGCGGGCACCACTCACACTTTGGCCCTGGCAGCCTCGCCCTGCTCTGCTCTAGGCCAGGGAGGACCTTTCTGTTTGATTTCTGAAGCAGAAAGGATGGTCCCAGAGTTTGAAAATGAAGCCTGTTTGCACTTTCATTCACATGCACTTTGGTGGCGTTAGATTTTTGTACTTGCTGTGTGTGCATGTGTGCACATGCGTGTGCATTCTTTAAGATAACCTCCTGGTTTAAGACAAAGTGACTCTTGACTCACGCGGGAGAAAGAGTTACAAACAAAATGTGGCGTGCTCTGTCAGTGTACGGAAACAACATAAATAAACTTGAACTGAATGATATGAAGTCAGAGTTTGTTCTATTTCCATGGCAAAATGTCCAGCAGACACAACGTGAATATCTATAGTATCATTACTGAAGAGAATAAAGTGTTCTCTCTGCTGTTAGGGTCCCTAAAGAATCTGACTTTTATTCTATTTTAAAGATGAGAACCAAAAGGTGAAGATATATGGGTATACTGTCTACATGGAGAGAAATAAACAATGGGAATCCTCAGAGAACAGAGTGAAAGGCCTGCTCCTTGACAGTTTATGAATGGAAAAGGCAGAAAAGTCAATGAAGACTTCAGTTTTTAAAATAACATGAAACTGCCCTGGCTGATGTGGCTCAGTGGATTGAGCACCGGCCTCCGAACCAGAAGGTTGCTTGTTCAATTCCCAGCATAGGTCACAGGCCTGGGTTGCAGGCCAGGTCCCCAGCAGGGGGCACGTGAAATGCAACCACACACTGATGTTTCTCTCCCTCTCTTTCTCCCACCCTTCCCCTCTCTAAAAATAAATAAATGAAATCTTTAAAAATAAAACAAAACCAAACATGAAACTTTCAGGTGGGGAAATGTCAAGCTGAACAGTTAGAATTTGTTAAGGTTTCCAGAGACTGTAAGCAGATGGGAAAGTAACAGAAATGCCATGTGCAAGCATATCAACCCCTTTTTTTGGTCAAATCCTTAATCCCTTCACCCTGCTGCTCCTCCAGACTACTTGGCTAGGAGAATACCAATGGATCTAAGAACCTGTCTTCTCCATACCTTGACCAGAAACTTAACAGGCTGAGCAGATTGGTTGCCATGGTTGACAGTCTCTGGCTTCAATGTGAAACCTCAGAGCTGCCTCGGAAGCAGCTGGGTTTTGGGGGGTTTAGCTTTGACTTCCCTTTTTATGCTCCTGAAACCTCCTACCCCATTACCTTTCCTGTGATCTCAATAGATGTCCTCCCCATCTATGTCACAGAGAAAATGGAAGTCATCAGAAGGAATGCCCCCACCTTTCTACGACCTCGTCTGCTAGTCTCCTTCCACCTACATCCATCTTCCTGACAAAGTAATCAAAATAGTGTGATACTAGCATATAGACAGACATAAAGACCAACTGAAGAGAATTGAGAGTCCAGAAATAAACCCATATGGACAGTTGATTTTAGACAAGAGTGTCAAGTCTATTCAACAAGGAAAGACAGCCTCTTAAAGAATTTCCATATGTAAAAAAAATAAAGTTAAAAAAAATGAAGTTCAATGCCTACCTTAACACCACATATAAAAAAGAACTCAAAATGGATTGAATACCTAAATATGAGTTAAAACCATAAAACACTTAGAAGAAAACATAGAGGTAAATCTTTATGACCTTGGAATTGACAATGGATTCTTGATGTGACACCAAAAACACAAGCAACAAAAGAAAAAATAGTTTAGTTGAACTTAAAAAACTTTAGTGCATCAAAGGACATCAAGAAAGAAAAAAGAGAGCCTACAGAATGGGAGAAAATATTTGCAATTGTATATCTGACAAGAGTTTACTATCCAGAATATACAAAGAAGTCCTAAAACTAAACAAAAAGATAACCCAAATAAGAAAATGGGCAGACGACTTGACTAGACGTTTCTCCAAAGAAGATAGACAAATGGCTAATAAACACAGGAAAAGATGTTCAACATCATTAGTTATTAGATAAGTGCATATCAAAACCACAATGAAATACCACTTCACACCCACTAGGATGCCTATAATTAAAAAAAAAAAGGAAAAATAGCAATTGTTGGCAAGGATGTGGAGAAATTGCTGGTTGAAATGTAAAATGGTGCAGCCACTATGCAAAACAGTTTGGCTGTTTGAGGAACAGTTTGACTCCTTAAAAAGCTAAAGGGAGAATTACCACATTACTCAGAAGTTCCACTTCTAAGTATACACCAGCAAGATTTGAACACAGATACTGTACTTGTATGACAGTGTTCATTGAGGTATTATGCACAATAGCCAAAGGGTGGAGAAAACTCAAGTGTCCACTGAATGAATGGGTAGACAAAAGTGGCATATTCATACAATGCAATATTATTCAACCATAAAAAAGGAAGAAACAACTGGATGAACCTTGAAAACACTATAACGAATAGAATAAGCCCGACATAAAAGGACAAATGTTGCATGATTTCACTTATATGGAAGATTTAGAAGAGGCAAATTCATAGACACAGAAAGCAGAAAGTAGATTAGAAGTTAGCAGGCTGGGGTGAAGGGGAATGGGGAGTCATTGCTTAGTAGGTACAGTTCCTCTTTGGGGCAGTGAAGTAGTTTTGGAACTAGACAGTAATGATGGTTGCAGAACACTGTAAATGTATTTAAAGCCACTGAATTGTCCACTTAAAAAACAGTTAAAATGACAAATTTTACGTTGTACAGATTTAACCACAATTAAAAAAAATTTTTTTAAAGAGCAAAACAGGATCCAGGAAACAGGACAGGCAACAAAGACAACGGGAATGTCCAGAGCGATGGGAAGAAAGGGCCAGGTAGACAACGGTGCGACTGTCCAGGTGAGAATGGAAGGATGAAAGAGAACAAACGGAAGCCTATGTGTTCTTGTATTAAAAGGATCATTTCCACTGTAACAGAGAACTTACGAGAGAATCGCACGTGTATATTCATGTATATATATATATATGTATATATATATATATATATATATTCAATATTTCAAATCATCCAATGAGGCAGTTGTTAATTCCCCTATGCCTGTTATTCCCTCTGGCCGTGGAGGACGCTGCAGCCATGAGAGTGTGTGCGTGGGCAAGCATAGCAGTGGAAGGAGGGGCAGGGGGCCAGATAAGCACAGAACAGTGGGCTGAGGAATCTCACGGTGGAGGGAACATTCATGGACTTGGGTTCTCATTGGTTCAGTCTCTTGTTTTCCTTCTCATCCCTGAGGATAGCCATATCTTTGCCCTTCACAGCCAAACAACAGAATTGGCCAGTTGGAGAGGAGAAACAGCACTGTGGAGGGGAAATAAGGAAGAAGGTGGGGAGGTGACGCACATCCTCAGTGGTCTCCCAGTAGGGGTGGCCCTAGCGATTTCTACAGCATCCTTGAGGGGAAAGGGCAAGTGTAAACCATGCTGATGTCCTGGCAGTTGGTACTACTTTTTACAGTAGCTTGGTAGGGATGTCAGCCTTGACCCAGCACTTGGGCTTGGAGTTTAGCAGACAGAAACACTAGCACCAGGCCACGGGATATTAACCCAAAGATGTTCTCTGCAGCTTTGTTAGACTTATTGTGAAAATGATAGCAGCCTAAATGTCCACCGGCAAAGAACAGTGACTTGGAAACAGGGATAAGGAAATTAATCCCACATTATACAATGTGATGTCAATTTTTTTTTATAAAGTTGAATTTCTATGTGTTCTATGTGGAAAGATGTGTGTGAGAAAAAAAAGTGAATGGCTGAACATAAGTATAGTATGACCCAAAATTTCTCTCGGGAAAAGAAGTGTATGAGATACGTGGAATAGGGCACATGCAAAGTGTGGAAGTATAGTCAGTGTTTAGTTAACAGCAGTTACCTCCAGGGATGAGATTGAAGATGGTTTGGAGGAGAAGCTTCCACCTTTTTTTGCCATTAAAGATTTTATTTATTTATTTATTTTTAGACAGAGGGGAAGGGAGGGAGAAAGAGAGGGAGAGAAACATTAATGTGTGGTTGCCTCTTGAGTGCCCCCTACTGGGGACCTGCCCCGCAGCCCAGGCATGTGCCTTGACTGGGAATCGAACTGGCAACCCTTGGGTTTGCAGGCCAGTGCTCAATCCACTGAGCCACGCCAGCCAGGGCAGAAGCTCCCACTTTTATTTCACATTCTTCTGTATGCTGGTATTGCCCAGTACAGTTTATGCAATCCCAGTATGTGGGGTCTTTAAAAACCAGCTTCGGGAGTGCAGGGGAGGTGGAGCTTGGTAGAGGCAGTGACCGGGCAGCTCCAGAAAGGGGCAGGACCAGGGCTCTGCCCTGATTTGCTTGGCACACTTGGGCTACACCCCTCCCACCCCGCTTTGGGCAGGGCCAGTCACATGCCGATGGGTGTGTTGTTTGTGCCCTGAGCCAGGATCAAACCTGCAGCTGGATGAGGATGATGCTGTAGCCAAATCAAGCTTCCCAGCCAGGGCAAGCAGCCAGTTTTTAAAACACTAGAATGACTGGGAAGTTGTTGATATATTTTTTATTTCTTTCTTTAAATCCTCACCCAAGGACGTTTTTTCATTGCTTTTAGAGAGAGGAGGGGGGAGAGAGAGAGAGAGAAACATTGATGTGAGAGAGAAATATCAACTTGGTTTTCTTCTTGTACATGCCCTCACTGGGGACCAAACCCCAAACCTGGGTATGTGTCCTGACCAGGAATCGAACCTGCAAACTTTCAGTCCACAGGACGATGAGCCACTGAGCCACACCAACCAGGGCATGTTGTTGACATTTTAATGAAATGTAACTGGAGAAAGCAGCATGCCAGTCAGACTCTGAGTTGCCTGCTGAGGAGGAGGGGTCCCTGGGTGGAGCTTTTCTTCCCTGTCCAGCAGGCCAGGCTCTGTCCCTGCCCTGAGTCAGAGCCCTCAGTCTGGGTACCTTCAGATCAACCAGAGAAAGCCTTCCCTCCATCAGAGCTGGGGAGAGCTGATCCCTGGGTCCTGAGCCTCCGGTCTCTGAAGGGCAGAGCAGAGCATTGGTCTCAGCCAGCCGAGCCCACGGAATGGTGCCCAGACAGTGCCAGTGCAGGGGAGCTCTGGACGGCAGGCTTTGGCTCAACACGAGAGTGCCAGACGTGTCAGGCATGAGCTGCCCCTCCCTGGAGGTGTCTAGGAAAGGGCTGATCACAGAGGCTGGTGGTCCTATCAGAGACCAGCAGAGGGGAGAGTTGTGTGCGACAAGGCCTTCGGATGGCCTGTTCTCCAGGCTGTAAGAGAAACGGAAAGTGATTCAGCTGACAAATCAGGGGAGGCTCTGTGGGAGTCAACATTTGAGCTGAACTTGGGAGGGTGGGGGTGTGATTTCAGACAATAAAAAAGTGACTGTATTGAAAGGAAATTCAGGGATCCTCCCCTGTGAGGCAGGACACACGTCATCATCACCAATTCACAGGAGGCTCAGGGAGCTGAAGTCACTTGTCCAGCCAAGGTCACATAAGTTGTGCAGTAGCTTGTAAAAGTTCAGAGGGTTCCCCAGGGCAGGGCCTTTGAGGAACCAGTGGGTGCAGCCAGCACCATGATTCAGGCCCAGCGGTTAATGAGTAACTGGAAGGCCCTGTGGCGAGGAATCAGCTGGCAGGGCTGGGAGGTTGAACTTGAGCTTGTTTGGGAGTCTCAGTGAGTGGGTGACAGGTCGCTCTTGACGGGGAAGTTTGTTCCAGCAATTCGGGATTGGGGGGACCATGCTGAGAGAGAGGAGGGCAGAGCTGTGCTCGGGGCTGCTCCCCAGGACCTGAGCTGGAACCCAGAGTTTTCAGGTGAGAGGCTCTGCTGTGAGCGGGACACTTGCCTGCCAGCCTGATGGGCTGCCAAATTGACTAACTAGTTGCCTAGCTAACTTCCTTCCTAACAACCTATTTACTTCTTTTCCTTCCTAACACCCTTCTTCCTAAAATGCTTTTTTCTTCCTAACTCTTCTCTCCCTCCTTCCTTTGCTTCCTTCTTTCCTAATTTTCTTTTTTTCTAACTTTCCCCCTATCCCTCCCTCCTTCCTTCTCAGCTGAGTCCCTCTACCTTCTCAGCCCCCTAATTGTCTTCCTTCCTAACTAACCAGTTTACATCCTCACTTCCTTCCCACTAACTTGATGCCTTCTTTTTTAAAATTCCTAACTTCTTGAAATTCAAGCTTTGGAGTCGGACTGTCTGGGTTCAAATCTCAGTTATATCATTTATCGGATATGGGGCTTGATCAAGTCATTTCCCCTCTCCAAGCCTAGCGTTCTCCTCCTTCAAACAGGGAAGATGATAGTTCCTAACCCATGGCATTGTGGGAACAAAATCAGATCAAGCTGGCACTTGGTACGCACCGTCACTGGTATGCCATTGGTGTGTCCTGGGCAGGCAGGGGTAAATGAATCAATCATAGCAGAGGGAAGACAAATACAACAACAGAAACAGGTGCAGAGTAGGGAGCAAGAAGCTGTAGGGGCAGAAAGCTGGTCAGGTGTGGGGGTCACAGTCAAGGTGATGGGAAGCAATGGACATGTCAAAGGTCCCACCAGGACTTAGAAGTTTTACACACTGATACAAAGATAAAAAAAATAACCTAACCCACTGTCACCTTGGGTCATGGCCCTCCAGACTTTTTTCTGTGACTGTGCACAAATGTACATGTGCATGTGTGTCTTTTTTTCTGTACAAATATGGTATCCCTGGTACATCTACCATTTTGAACCTTCTTTCTTTCCTTCTTTCTTTTTCTTTCTTTCCTTCTTTCTTTCTTTCTTTCTTTCTTTCTTTCTTTCTTTCTTTCTTTCTTTCTTTTCTCTCTCTCTCTCTCCCCCCCCCACCTCTCTCCTTCCCTCCCTCCCTCCCTCACTTCCTTTTGCTTGAGACTGTGGCACATATATGTTTCTGCTTTATTTTACATAGGTTCATGTATCGATTGTGTTTGTTGTTCGGTAATTTTCTATTTTACATATGGCCTGCTATTTATCTTATCAATTCATTCCTTGATTCATTAGTTAAATATGTATGGAGCACTGACTATATCCCAGGCCCTGTTCTAGGGGCTGGGCAGTCAACAGTGAACAAGAGAAGTCTTTGCCCTTATGGAGCTGACGCTCTCATTTGAGACAGAAAATAAAGCCTTGCCTGAGAAGGTGTCAAAAAATCATAAGTATTACAAAGTAAAATATAAAGCAGGAAAAATGGAGAGGGAATGGGCAAGACTGGTTTCATAGAGTGACCAACCATCCTGGTTTTTCCAAGAACGTACTGGTTTTAGCACTGAAAGTCCCACATCCTGGAAAACCTGGAAGTCCCAGACAAACTAGGACAGTTGGGCACCAGTAATCAGAAAAGGCCTGCCTGAGAGGTCACATGTGAGCCAAGACCTCTGTCACATTAGTGGAAGGCAGCTAAGCAGATGCCTGGGGGACGAGCATTTCCTCTAGGCAGAGGAAAAGCAAGTGCCAGGGGCCGGACGCTAGAGGACACTCCGTGTGTGCGAGGGACAGCCAGAAAGCCAGGGGGGCTGGAGTGCAGTGCGAGGAGAGCAGTGGAGACAAGGCGGAGCCAGGTCGGGTGGAATCTCGTAGTCCATACGAAAGACTTTGGATTTTGATCCTTCAAGTGACGGGAAGTGACTGGAGTTTTGAACAACAAACTCACATGCTCTGATTTACAGTTTTAAAAAGCCATTCTGGCTTTTGGTGGGAAGAGATTGTGCTGGGTGAAGACGGAAACAGAGAATCAGTAGGGCAGCTGTTGCAATAATCCACGACGGTGATGCTGGGGGCTCAGGCAGGGTGGTCGCAGCAGTGGGTTTCTGGATGCATTGGGGAGTTAGAGCCTGATGGGGTTTCGGGGAGGAGTGGGGGTGGGGTGAGAGTGTCAGTGTGAACTTTTGAGTAGGGGGTAGTAGCACCATTGCAGAGATGGAAGGAGCAGGCTGAGGAAGAGTAGAAGGGACGTGAACCAAGACTCGTTTGAGCCACGTGAACTCGGAGGTGCCTCTGGATATCTAACCAGTGACGCATCAAAGAAGCAGTTAGATATTTAAATTCAGAATGCAAGAGAGAATCTGAACGAGAGAGATGTGTTTGGGAATTATCTAGTGTAGTTGGTACTCGATGGCATGAAATTGCTTGAGATCAACTAGGGAACACGTGTAGATAGAGGTCCAAGGGCTGAGCCCTGGGACAGGCCCGTGTTTAAGGGTAAAAAGAGGAGGAGAATCCAGCAGAAGAGGGGGACGAAGAGCAGTCAGTGAGGTTGGAGGAAAACCGGAAGCGGTGGGAGAAGGTGGGGAGGTCACATCCTCCTGAGAAGCTGAGTGAGGCGGGGATGAAGAACCCCTCACTGGCTCTGGTATGTGGAAGTCACTCTTTTGGTGCCCTGTTTGGGATGAAAGCTTCTTTGTATGGAAAGACCACTCTTTCAAGGAGAGGAACTTAAGAGGCGAACTGAAAAATGGACCATATCTGGGTGGGGTTGGAAGGTCAAGAGAGGGCGCTATGACAGCGGCGATATTCCGAAGGGCTTTGTGGTGGACCATTTAGGTTATCATTATCACTGCTATTGCTTTCCTGTTGAAAACAGTGCTGCTGAATGAGGGGCTAATCAGGGGCTTGTTGTTGAAAAGAAATGTTCTTGTTCTGGGTATGTATTTTGTCAACATGACATCCCGCCCATCTGTGTATGGGTTCAACAGTTCTGTTTTGTTGGAAGATGGTAGGCTCTGATATTGTTCACTCGGGTTTCCTTGGCTGCCCGCTGCCAGCACCCAGTGTTTCAGGGCCTGCAGAGAACCCCCAAGGCCACTAGGCCCTGACCAACCCCTTGGCTCCAGCCCCATAGACCCCTCCACTGTGGTGAGTTGTGGAGGTCTGGATGTGGCATGGGGTAGCCACACAGGATGTTCCAGAAGAACAGGGGCTTTTCCGGACCCTGCAAACTCCTGCATTCCCCGGAACACCCCTCATGAGCTCTGGGGGTGAGGAGGGACTCCGTGAGTGGCTAATTATCACACCAGGCAGTAAGAACTTCACGAGCCAAGTGCTGCTGGGACCATGTTTCCTGCCTATTATGTAGCTGGAGAGCTGTGAGCCAGCCTGCTCTATCCGGGGGACAGCAGGCCAGGGCCTTTGATGGGCCGGCAGGGAAAGGCCCAAATGGCCAAGTACTTGGGAGTCAAAGACCAAGGCCAGCTGGACTGAGCCAGACACCTGGGCTCCAGGTTCCTTTCAAACACCTGCAGGTTCTTGGGAAGCGAAGGGCTCTCAGCTGCCATGAATGGGGTCCTGAGACCTCATCTTCAGTCCCAGGTGGTTTACACCAGGCCCGGGGAAGGCCCCAGGGAGCATGTCTTCCTACAGTCAGGCCCCTACACACAACACACACGAATTCACCAACATGCACCCACCAATATGAAGGCAGACACACAATGACCTACACGTGGTTACACTATCACACACATGTATCAATAGCCACCCATACTCATCTGCAGACTCACACGTGTAGAGGCCCACATGTAGACTCACACACATACACACAAGCATGTTAACACATATAAAGATACACAGGGACACATCGACACCCTACACAGAAGCTCCCCAAAGTACACACACAGATACCCTGAGAACACACAGTCACAGATGCACAGACACACAGAAAAATTACACAAACGTGATCACCGTGACACTCACTAGCATCAGAACACAGGTAGTCACCTACGTGGACTCATACGGGGACACACGGGCATGACAGACAGGCTGACGCACACCCGCACAGCAAACACCTGCCCACGCACACGCTGACCCACTCTCACACATTCTACTAAACCCGAGTCCCCAGGGCTCTCCTGCAGCTGTCGCCCACCCCCCAGGGGGAGGCGATGTCCCCGAGGGAACAGAGGGCTCCCAGCCCATCTTAAGCTCTGCTGGGTCCTGCATGACATCAACAGCCCCCTCGATGCTGCCGGGAGTTTCGAGCTGGGGCCAGGCCGGCGCCAGGCACAGACACTTCAGCCCTTGTTGGGAGAACAGAGAGAGGCTCTCTTGTCCACGGCCAGTCCTCCGCCTCCAACTGCTGCTCCTCTCAGCAGCCTCTCCTCAGGCCGGTGCAGGTACGCGGGGCCGGGGGGCTGGGGGGCCAGGGCCTGGCAGAGGGGCCGTCACGGCCGGCACAGGAGAGGGGGTGACAGCCGTGCGGGCTGTCTGCAGGGTCACAGGCCAAGGGCACCGGGCTGCTGCACTCCCTGGTGGCAGTTCCACAGCTTGCTCTCTCAGGGCCCCACAGAGCTCGGGGACTCCCTTCCGTCCCCTGTGGTTACTTTCTCAGCTCCCAAGAAGGCCATGGGATGGCGCTTCAAGGTGCCCCCCTCGTAAAGGTGGGTAGAGTATCTAGAGAGGCCGGGCTCCAGCCCGTGCACCGCAAAGGGCCAAGGCTGTGGTCTTGAGAAGCACAGTATCCAGCAGTTTCGCCAAGCAACGGTGATGCCGGGGAAAATATCAGCTCTTGGCCTTGACCTTCCAAGCAGGGGTGGGGCTGTGCGGCCCTGGGCACCCTGAGTCGGGGCCTGAGTAGGCCAGCCTCCTCTGCCCTGCAGAGTGGGGGCAGGAAAAATGCTGCGATCCTGGCTGCACAGACCAGCTGATCTGTTTAATCTCAGCTAGACCCTGGCCAGCCCGGGGTTTCTCCAGGTCGTCCGCCCAAGGCCCCCAAGGCAGCTGCCCTGCCAGGGGCATTGGGCAGAAGTCCCTGTGGCAGGGAGATAACAGCACAGAGCCCATGCTTGGGGCGTCTACAGGGATTCAGGGTGGCAACATGCCTGTATGGGAGCCCAGCCTGCCCCTCACAAGCTGTGTCATCCTGGCAAGTCCCTTTCTAGGCCGCAGGCTCCCCACCTGTAAAATGGAGGGAAGGGTGCAGACTTTATGGTCTGCCAGGGTCCTTCCAGGCCTGGCCATCCTGGACTTCTGGGGCTGCCTGGCTCTCAGGGACCTTGCTACTCTGGCTGTCCCCAACTCTGTAAAAGTCTCAGCCTGGGAGGAGCCACCGCTGACCACCCTCTCTCCTTCCCAGGGGGTATCATTTCTTGTCCCACACAGGGGTGGCTGGCCTCTGGGGTAGAAGGTGCTCAGGCTATGGCAGTACATGGATGCCGTTGGGGAGGGGCGGTGAGGGCAGCGGTGCCTGAGGCCCTAGACAGGGGAAGCTGACCCCCCAACCAACTCTCTAATGCCTGCTCCTCCTTGTGCCCCAGCACCCACCCTATCACTGTTACGAAATGGACTCTGGTCCTAGCCCAGGTGGGACCCCCAGTCCACAGGTGAGTGGGTCTTGGTTCCCCTAGCCACCGCCAGGGGGCTTGCTTCCTTACCAGGCTCAGAAAAATCTAATGAAGCACCTGCCTGCCAGGCAGGTGGGCCACCCCAGACAGGACTGAGCTCACGGAAGTGGGCTATTTGCAGAGTAAATGGAGAAGAGACTTGGGCAAAGACTTCTGGAAGTAAATGGGGTGGAAAAATCATAGGATTGGCCCTGAGGACACCTGAGTTCTAATAGTGCCCATGGGCCACCTGTAAGTCCTTGGACAGGGCAGCTCTTCTCTGGGTCTCAGTTTCCTCACCTTCACAATTGGCATGACAGCCAGCAGCCTCCCAAGGCTGTTGTGAGAAGGAGATGAAATGGTGGATAGGGAGTGGGTGGGTAGAGGCGTGGAAGGAAGGAAGGAAGGAAGGAAGGAAGGAAGGAAGGAAGGAAGGAAGGAAGGAAGGAAGGAAGGAAGGAAGGAAGGAAGGAAGGAAGGGTTGGAGGGGAAAGGGAGGGAGAAAGGAGGGAGGGAGGAAGGGAGGGAGGGAGGGAGGACTGAAGGAGCACAGTAGTGATGCTGGAGATAGAACAGGCCCTGGGCAAGGGAAAAAGGAGGGAGCCAGGAAGTAGGGACCTGGTGATGTTAATTACCTCTTTCTGTAAATGTCTTTAGCCCTCAAGGGCCAATGGAAACATCAATCTGGGGCCTTCAGCCAACCCAAAGTAAGTTCTGGTCTTTCAAGCAACTTTCCTCACTGGCTCCCCTAGCCTTGGGAATAAAACCTGAGTTCTCTGGTCTACCTCCAAGACCCTCTGCCCCCTGTGCCCAGGACCGTCCCCGCCTTTACCTTGCACTAATTCCCCAGCCTCGGTCCATGCCAAGCCCTGGGCCTGGAATGCCCCCCAAAGTCTGCATTGTTAGCAGGTCCCCACCCTTCAGTCCCTTCTCAGGCTTTCAAGCCGGTTCCCTCACCTTTTATGCAGTTGTGTCTGGTTTTCTCCCCACCTTACCTGTTGTTTATCTGATCATGAGATCCCCAAGTACAGGGGCCAGTCTTACAAGACGCCCCTGGACAGGGAGAATGTGGCAGTCTTCAGCAGTGAGGAGGCGGGGCTGTAGGAGAGTTCCTTGTATTCCCCACCTTCAAAGTGAAAAAGCAGTCTGGCTTTGCTCTCAGGACGAGGTTTCGCAAGCTTGCAAATGCTGACCCTCGGTCTCCCCTCTTCCCCCAGTGCCCGGCCCACTGACTTCGACTTCCTCAAAGTCATCGGCAAAGGGAACTATGGGAAGGTGAGTAACGTGGTGAAGGCAGGAGGCCTGGGTCTCCCCTTCTCTGCCTCCTCCACCCCCTGCCTGTCACTTGCATGTGCAAAGAGGGAGCTTACAGCCTGCAGGTTCAAGGATGCAGGGCCAGAGCTGGGGGGCCATCAGGAGTGGTCACCTGAGTGAGCTTGCGTTTTGCTTTCACTCAGGTCCTACTGGCCAAGCGCAAGTCCGACGGGATGTTCTACGCGGTGAAGGTGCTGCAGAAAAAATCCATCTTAAAGAATAAAGAGGTACCAGAGCTCAGGCATAAGCATTTCCTCTCCTTTTCCTCAACTCCCACATTAGGGTGGCTTCCCAAGATGAGCCCCAACTGTGAGGGCTCCATGGGCTAGGTGAAGAGGGGGTCACAGGAGGGAGTCAGGTGGTTCCCAGGGTGCTGACCCTCTCAAAGAAGGCCAGTCAACCACCTCACCCACAGGCCTCAGGAGGAGCCAGTCCCAGCTCTGTGCCTTTCCCTGGGAAATTCAGGGCCCCATGGTGGACAAGCCCTTGGCCACATCTAGCAGGGTGGGGTCACACTTCATTGTCTCCGAAGGCCCTTGCAGCTGCAGCCATCCTGGAGTGGCAGAGGCTTTAGCTCACTTGAGCTCTTTAACGCCAGCCCCACTAGGAGGAGGGAGCAGGCCCTAAGACAGGGCTGAATAGCAAATCAGAGGACCCAGGAGAGGGCATTAACGTTGACAAGGACAGCTTGGGTGTGGGTAGGGGAGGTCTTCCTGAGGGAGGTGGCCTTGCAGCTGGCCTTGAAGGTTTGAAAAGAGGGTGCCCAGACAGTAGGAACAGCATGAACCAAAGCATGAAGGTGGCTTCATTTATTCAGTAATCATATATGTTTTGCTTATCCCCCCAGGGTTGGGGGGCAGGGATTTCTGATCTGGGGGCTGGAGCTGCACCCATGTGGGTTGACCACACAGAACCCTGAATACTAGGCAAGGAGCTGGGCCTGGCTGTAAGGAGCCGCAGGGGGTGCCTGAGGAGGGGCCTGGGAAGGTGCTGGGCAGGGCAGCCCCCACCAGTGGGGCCCTGTGGGCTGTGACACGGGCCCCTGTCCATGTGACCCCACAGCAGAACCACATCATGGCGGAGCGCAACGTGCTTCTGAAGAACGTGCGGCACCCCTTCCTCGTGGGCCTGCGCTACTCCTTCCAGACCCCCGAGAAACTCTACTTTGTGCTCGACTACGTCAATGGAGGAGAGGTGGGTGGGCCCGCAGGCAGCTCCCCTGGCCAGCTCTTAGCTGGCAGCTGTCCATCCCACATACCCCCTGAGTACCAGGTTCTGGAATGACCTCATATTATTCATACAACAGACCCATTCTGTAGGTGGAGAAACTGAGGGTCAGGAGCTAACTCACTTGCTCAAGGCCACCCAGCTTGTAGCTGGCAGAGCCAGGATTGAAATGTGGGTCTGTACTGTCTTCCTCCTGCAAAGCTGCCCAGACTCAGCTGGGGAAGGTCAATGTTAGAGGAGCTCTGTGGTCAAGGTTGCCGATGCCCTTGCTTTACACCAGCGGCCACTGGTGGGAGTGACCCGTCACTGTGGTAAATGGAGACGTGAGGCTCCCTGGTGACCTAGAAGTACAGCTGTATGAGCTGAGTTCCCTCCTGGACTTCACTCTGGCTCTCTGGGTAAAACTTAGTGAGGTCCCCTCAGTGATCCTAGATTTAAGCTGTGTGACCTCATGCTTTTTGGCCTGATGCCAAGATGGGAGTGTTTGTCCGCATCCCTAAGTCCCCTGGTGGTGATGAAGGGCTTTCCATGCCAGCAAAACAGACCCAAGCAATTGGCCCATGGGCAGATCTAATCTGGGCTGAGCTGGCCTCAGCCACAATAATCTTATCACCTGGGGTAGAGGAAAAACACATCTTCAAACCACCCAGTTTCAAATTCCAGCTCTGCCAAAAGCAAGCTGCATGAACTTGGCAAGTTACCTGACAGCTCTGACCCCTCCCCGTTTCCTCTTAGGTGAAACTAGCATCACATTTGATATCTTGAAGGTGGCCATGAGGATTAAATGAGATAAGGGATGAGAAAGGTTCTGGCTTGGAGCCTGGAACACAGTAGCTGCTCAATCCGTGCTAATTAATCTCTCCTGCTGACCCTTTGGATGTCCAAAACCACTGTCGGGGGTGGGGGCTGACATGCCCTTGGTCGTCTGAGTGCACTGTGGATCAAAGAGGGGGGGACCTGGCCAGCTGCTCCCTGCACTGCAGGGGCTGGAGCCCCCACCCCAGGACTCAGATGTCTCACAGGTGTCCTCTCCCTCCAGCTCTTCTTCCACCTGCAGCGGGAGCGCAGGTTCCTGGAGCCCCGAGCCCGGTTCTACGCCGCCGAGGTGGCCAGCGCCATCGGCTACCTGCACTCCCTCAACATCATCTACAGGTGAGGCCTGCCTGTGGCTCAGAGCCAAGCCCGGCCCTCTGCCCCGACAGCCAGGGATGTGTGGGCAGGGGTGTGTGGGACATTCTGACGAAATCCCTGGGAAGTTGGTCCTTTGTCTGAGGAGAGTGCCCCCACGGAGGGAGGGTGAGAGCCTCCTCCTTTCTAGGATCAAGAGCCCACCCTCCCTGGGCTTCCCTGGACATCTCTGTGAGCCTCCATGATACTCCTCCTGCCAGGATCCCGGGTCCCCAGCTGTCCTCACCAAGTGGCTGAGCCATCACAGCACGCTTTCCTCTTGTTTTCTGCAGGGACTTGAAACCAGAGAACATTCTCTTGGACTGCCAGGTATGTGTACGTATGTGCATAGTTGCATATGTGTGCTATGCACCCACAAGTACGTGGATGTCTCTGCATACATTGTATAGGAATGCATTCACGTATGTGTGTCCATGTACCCATACATGTGTACATGCATGTGTGAGAATTGTGTGCACATGAGGCACATGTGTATGTGCATGTGCATGTGTGTGCAGGAGTTCTATAGAGGGCAGGGGTGGAGTCAGGGAGCGGCTCAAGGATTTTGTAGTCCCTCCATGTCCTAGACTGGGTGCCCTGGATACAGACCCTGAGAGGAAACACTGGGTGCAGAAGATTATCAGGGAACACTCTCCAGAGATATGCCTTTAAGGGGGTGAAAAGGCAGGACTGGGCAGAGGAAGCTCACCTGCATTGTGGTTGCCAGTGAGGCCGCAGCCGATCAGGGTGAGGAGGGCCTGAGCCGGAATGGCTCTAGAGCTGTTCCTGACTGGGGCGAGCTGGCTGGGCGTTTGTACCCCTGCATCGGTCAGTCATCGGGCGGGATTGCCCCTGGGAGGGGTGTAACTCCGGGTGAGGGCAGTGTCCCAGCATGGGGAGATGGGCCGGACAGCCCCTAAAGGGCAGATCTGGGCAGGGCCCTGCACTATCCACCCGCTCCACGCCCTCCACCGGCCTCCCGCCTGCCCAGCTGCCATAAGGTGTGGCAGCTTCCTAGGTCCCCAACCCTCTGCAAAGGGGCTGCTGCCACCAGCCCCCTCCAGCAAGGACATTCTGGAGCTGCCATTGTTACAGGGCATGGGCCTGAGTCTGTGATGAGCTGAGCAGACAGAGGAACACCTTCTCCCCACCTTGCCCCCCGTGCCGCTTCCAGTCCAGAAACCCTGGTTCTCTTAGTAAAGCCTCCAGCCTACACAGGAGCATCAGACCTCTCGCCTGCGGCCCTGAGCTGTGGTGTCTGGGCTTTGAGGTTAGGCCTGGCTATATCTTTACCTTGGACCACCTTCCTGCCCCTGAATTCCCTCCTCTGCAGGGACATGTGGTCCTGACAGATTTTGGCCTCTGCAAGGAAGGCGTAGAGCCGGAGAAGACCACGTCCACGTTCTGTGGCACCCCCGAGGTGAGCTGACCCTCCTGAGAGAAGGCAGGCTGTGAGGGGTTGAGGCCACAGCTCCAGATTACAGGCAACAGTGTACACCTAGAAGAGCTCACCTCTCCCACCCGAGGACCTCCCCTGAGCTGCCCTCAGCCTCGGTTCCCTCATCTGTGTCACGGGGGCATCATCTCCAGGGGCTGCTGGGACCCGGCCAGCTGCTGGTGACTCTGCCATGGTGATGTCCTATAGAAACGGAAATGCAAACCATCTAGGCAGTTAAAATTTCATAGCAGCCATATCTAAAAAGTAAAAAGAAACAAGTTAATTTTAATAATGTATTTTAATTAACCTAATGTACATGAAATATTGTCATTTCAACATACAATCAATATAAAGTTGTGGAGATAGTTTAGTCTTTTTTTTCTTCAGGTCTTTGAAATCTGTGTGTATTTTACACCGATGGGCCATCTCAGCTGAGATCAGCCATGTCTCAATTGTTCGGTGGCCACATGTGGATAGTGGCTGCTGCATTGAACAGCATTGCCCAACAGGGTCAAGTTCATGTGCAACAGGAGGGCCTAGCCTGACAATTAAGATCAGGGCTTGCAAGTGTGAAAGACACTTTTCTTCCATCCTCTTCCAGCCACCAAGAACCTGGACAGTTAAAATTTGTGGGTCTCAGCAGTAATTCACACGTCTGTCTGTCCTGCCGATGCCTCCACGCAGCCTTGGGGTTCAAACCTTCCCTTGAACTCTCACCAGTGTTGACCCTTGGACCTTGGACTGGAAGGGGTCACTTGTTGCTTGGGCAGATGTCTGGGTGGGGTTGTGGGGCTGAGGCTGCAGGCCTGGGATGCTCCTCGCAACCTGGCATGAGGCGGGGCTTTAGCAGCGCTATTTTTCTCCCTATGTGTGATGGTCCAGGTTTCAGATCTCAGCTGGGCCTCCTCCGTTTGGTTTAGGATAGCGCATGGACAGATGACCTCTCTGAGCAGGAGCCATTGTCTGTGTTTGTGAATGGCAGGGTGGCCGCCGGACAGAGCTGGCCTCCCCAAGCCTGACAATCCAGTCATCCCTTCCTTGGACATTGCCAAGGGCAAGGAGCAGGGGATATGGCACCATGGTTCACATATAAGACAAGTGGCCCCAACATGTCATCTCTTCCATAATCTTTTTCTCCAAGTGCCTTGTTTACAAATGGGGAGACTGAGTCTCAGGGTCTTTCAACAGTACTTGGCTCCAGAAGTGCTTCGTAAAGAGCCTTACGATCGGGCGGTGGACTGGTGGTGTTTGGGGGCCGTTCTCTACGAGATGCTGCACGGCCTGGTGAGTGGGGTCTGGCTGTCTGCAAGGGACATCTGGCTCTGGGGAGAGGTAGGGGTGGGCCTCTCCCCTGCGTCACCTGCTCAGGCTCCTCAAGGAAGTGAACGGGCCATCTCTCTACTCTGAGCTAAAAAAGATGATGTTGAAATGAATACAAGGATTATATGTCTTTTTCAACAGTGTCAGTTCAGCACTTTGTCATACACCATCTGCTATTTACTCCTGTGGTCCCGCAAAACAGCCTTTTGCGAGTGGCGGCAGGAAATGGAGTTGTTCTTAATTTAGTGAAAGGGAAACTGAGGCCCAGAAAGGTCACAGTGCTGGTAGGTTGCACAACCAGCCCTGGACCCAATCCTAGGCTGCCTACCTAGATGGAGGCATGTGTAGACTCGCCCTAGGCCAGGCTTCCCCCTGGGCTGGCATCAGCAACGGAGCTTGGTGGATAGAAGGAAGGAGGAGCTGGCAGGACAGGTGGGAGGAAGAGCATCAGGAAAGATGGGCTTGCGTGTGGTTTGGGGCCTAGCTCTCATCGTGTCTTTGCCACAGGCTTTCATTTCGCTGAGCCTTGTCTTCTGTTCTGAAAAATTACTACCTGTCTCCAAGGATGGTTGTGAGGCTGGGATGAAATGATGAATGGGAGAGTGTGAACTTTGCCAAGGGCAAAGTTAGTGCACAAGGCATATTAAGAGAGGTAGGTTAGGGGATGCTCCCAGGAGGTGCACAAGTCTCACGCAGGTGGAGAGAGACTCCTTAGCCTTCCCAGCAGCCCTCTCCCCTGGGCTGGAAGTGCGGAGGCCTCTGCCCCTCTCCCGTCTGCCATGTGAGCCATTGTACGAGATGCGAGACACAGGTGTGGCTGATCCTTCTGGAGACCTGGCTTTGCTCTAAGTCTCTCTGAGACCTGTGCCCAGTTGCATATGGATGATCCTCGAGCCCTCTCCCTCTCTCACCAGCCACCCTTCTACAGCCGAGACATATCCCAGATGTATGAGAACATTCTGCACCAGCCACTGCAGATCCCTGGGGGCCGGACGGTGGCCGCCTGTGACCTCCTGCAAGCCCTTCTCCACAAGGACCAGAGGCAGCGGCTAGGCTCCAAAGCAGACTTTGTAAGTGACTTGCTAATGGACCACTGGCCCCTTCCTGCAGAGGCAGCTCAAAAGCACAGTGACACACATCCTGCTAATTTGTTCATTTGGAAATTCACAGACGCTGCTACTCGATTACTTCCTTCGGTCTAGTTCTTTTATTCATCCAATATTTACTGAGCACCAACTATGCGCCAGACAGACATTGAGCTAGGTGCTAGGCATCCAATAGACTGGGTCTCTGCCCTTATTATGTTTATGGAGGGGGGCAGACAATGAATAAACATTATATACAATTGTTACAGAGTGTGGCAAGTATCAGGAAATATAAGAACAATGAGCTCAGACAGACAATAATGAGAGGGGGTGAATTCACAATGGCATGGTCAGGGAGGTCATCTCTCAGGAGGTGACAAGCTGAGGCTTGAAGGATGAGAAGGAACCGCTCATGCAGAGTGGGAAGGAGGCATCCCAGACACAAGGCAGCATGTGCAAAAGTCCTGTGGTGGGAATGAGGAGGAGGGTGGTGTGCTTTAGGGTAGTTTGAGCAGGGGTGTGGTAAGAGCCAATTTAAGTTTTAAGAAATTCCTCTGGCTTCTGTGCAGAGTGGACTGGATTGGCTTTTTACAAATATCTGAGCACTTACTCCTTGACAGTCCATTCCCTTAGCAAGTTTATTTTATATATATATTTTCCAGCCTTCTGTAAATATATATATTTAATTAGAGTAGCATTTAAAAAATAATCTTACATTCTCTACTCAACCAAAAATCATTTGGATTTATAAAAGGAAGACCACAGTACTCTTCTCCCTAGAAATTGTTTTCTTTTCTAGCATTGTGGTTGAGATGCATGGGCTAGGAGGCAGACTACCTAGGTTCAGATCCCTCCTCTGACACTCACATTTAACTTCTGTGAGCCTCGGTTTCCCCTTCTGTAATAACAGTACCTATCTTGAAGTTGCCTCAAAGATCAAATGGATTAAGATATGCAAAGCAGTTGGACCAATGCCTGGCACATAGTGTTTTTTAAGTGCTTGTACCAACAGCCTATATGTCAGATGCTGTGAAGTGTAACAACATTTAGGGCATTTGGCTACCCATTCCTGACCAGTTTAAAGAATGGGGCTTTTATGAAGATAGTCCACTCCCTCCAGGTGGAAATTTGCATTTGTTTATTGATTTTAGGGGGAGGGAAGAGAGACACATCAATGTAAGAGAGAAACATCAATTGTTTGCCCCCCCGCCCCGTATGCACCCCAACTAGGGAGTCAAACCCACAACCTAGGTATGTGCCCTGACCAGGAATTGAACCCACAAACTTATTGGTGGACAAGATGATGCTCCAACCAACTGAGCCACCCAGCCAGGGCAGAAATTTGTATCTTAAAAAATATGTATGATTTTAAAAATAAGACATACATTCACATAGATCAAAATTCAAAGAATTTCAGAAAAAGTCCCTTGAGCTACCCAGTTCCTTAATTTAGAGGTAACCAGTGTTACCAGTTTTGGGGGATCTGGGCTATTTTGGATCTGGCTTTTTAACAAGCCCAGAAGGTGGTGTGCTGATATAGGTGGCCGGAGAATCATTCTTTGGGAGACACAGGGAGAGGGTCCCCTGTGGGGACAGGAGAAGGTCGGTGCTGACGTTGGTTTGGAAAGAGGTGGCGGGAGACGCTCCAGGCTGAGTCCTAAACTCTGGGTCTCCGGGAGCCTGCATCTTTTCATGGGGCTTTCCTTCCTTCCAGAGTCCGTTGATGTGTCTGTTTCTCTGGTTTGCATTCTGAAACAGTCAAAATGCACTAAGGCAGAGTGAGGCACGGTCCACAAGCCCCCCGGGGACCCCGAGGGCAGGTTCTGCTGTCTTGTTCAGTGACACACGCCCAAAGCCTACCAGGTGCTGGCCCAGAGTAGGTGCTCACTAGACAGATGTGGAATAAACAAATGCCACGGGGGGAAAGGGTTTGATTCCTGAGGACAGCGACGGGGAGAGGCCTGGCTGCAGAATCGTCATCTTGGCAAACCAGCCTCAGGTGCAAGCTACATTCTTTGTAAAGGTTTTTGGGCTTGACCATCAGCTGCCGGCAGAATTGGAGCTTGGGGCCAAGAGGGGGTGGGCTGGCAGTGCCTATAAGAAGGGCTACTTCTGATCAGCACCTTCTTCCTGCAGCTGGAGATAAAGAACCACGTATTCTTCAGCCCCATAAACTGGGATGACTTGTACCACAAGAGGCTGACACCACCCTTCAACCCAAATGTGGTAAGAGGCCACCACATGCCAGATTCTGGGTTACCAGGGCTGGTGGGAGTTTGGAGGGCATCTGGGCCAGCTCTCTACAGGTGGAAAATACGGGGGGGTCCAAGGGGCGCCATGCTTTGTCCAGGCCACATGGTAAGTTAGAGGCAGAACTGGTCTAGAACCCTGGAGTCCTGACTGCCGGCTGAGCTCTGTGTGATGAGCCGTGCTACTGCTTCTTTATTTTTTGCACCAGTAACTCTCACTGTACAGCCCTCTACAGTTTTTAAAGCGCTCTGTGTTATGTCCACGCCCAGAGGGAGCCAAGCCCTGTAAAGACATTTCCCCCCTATAGTTAGCTTTCTTCCTAATGATGAAAATGGCATGTATTCATTGTAGAAAGTATGCAAAACAGAGAAGTTTAAAGCAACAGGGAAAAAAGCTTATTATCTCATTACCCAAGAGAAACCATAGCTGATGTGTTTCCTTTCAGTTGTTTCTACATGTTTTTTACCTAGGTTATATTTTATATATAGATACTTTTCTCCATCCACTTTTTTTCTTTTTGTAAAAACTGTTCCTTCCTTCCTTCCTTCCTTCCTTCCTTCCTTCCTTCCTTCCTTCCTTCCTTCCTTCCTTCCTTCCTTCCTTCCTTCCTCTCTCTCTCTCTCTCTTTCCTTCTTTCCTTCAGATTTTATTTATTTTTTAGAGAGAGGGGAAAGGAGAGAGAGAGGAAGAGAACCATTGGTGGGCGAGAGAAACATGGATCAGTTGTCTCTTGCACGCCCCCAACTGGGAACCTGGCCCACAACTCAGGCATGTGTCCTGACTGAGAATTGAACCAGTGACATTTCAGTTCACAGGCTGGTGCTCGACCCACTGAGCCACAAGAGCCAGGGCCTATGTCACCATTTCTGCCAGTCCCGTAAAACTTTATAAGGATCATTTTAAGTGGCTTATACTATTTCAATGCTATGTTGGTGACATAATTTATTCAGCCATGCTCCTAATGGTGAACTTCAGGTTATTACCATTTTTTATTTATCATAAAGTAGTGATGAACATCTTTAAGTGTCTATCTTTGCCCCGAGTTCTGATTATTTCCTTGTGATGGATTCCAGATGGGGAATGACCAGGTCAAAGAATGTGAATGTATCTTGGTTCTTGATTCACCCTCCCCTCACTGTGTGCCAGGGAGCAGAGTCTATTTCTGACCGGGGGTGTCTGCTAGTGAATGCTTACTCTCTGCAGCATGTACGTTGTTTTTAACTTTGCAAATTTAAGTAAAAAATAGCATCTAGTATTGCTTTAATTTATATTTCTTTGATTTACAATGAAGGTGGTTAGTTTTTAAATGCTAATTAGCAGTACTAGTATGAACAGAAGGAACCCCATTTCAGGTGGACACTGGAGGTTCTCTTGGCCACCTCTAACCATCAAATAATGTCAAGTCCCTTTCATCCAAGCAGCCTGCACACCTCAACACTGTCAATGTTCCTATTTGCATCTCTCCTTCGGTGATTTACCTATTTGTGAATGTGCCTTTGAGCACCAGATTCTTGACACCAGTTGTCAGAGAGGATGCATGCAGTCCAGGCATCTGAAAAGTATCTTTATCTGAGGATTTTAAAAAAGACTTTGAGGATAATATTGAACATATACTCTGGAAAGAGAATAACATATAAAGCACTAGACAGGGAGGTAATAAAATACAATGCATGGACTTTAGAGTGAGACGCAGTAGAGGCGGGTTCCTGGTTCTGTCACTTACTACTTGTGAGACCTTGAATAAGTTCCTTTGGTGTCAGTGTCTTCATTTGTAAAAAACTGAAAAAATGCCTGCCTTGTCTAGGGCCACAGAGCATAAGAGGGCCAGGGCCAGGATTCACATTTTGGCTGTGGAGCTCTGAGTCCTGGACTAGTACCACTGTGTCCTGTGGCCTTTTCGAGAAGCTGGAAGCCACAGTCTCTTTGGTTCCATGGGCTGAGGCTCGCATACTAGAGCAGATCTGCAGACCTTCCCACTGGCTCACCTGCTTACTGCATAAAACCCAGCTGGCCCAGTCTTCTCCCCAGACAGTGCCTACTCCGCAGAGGGGTTGTATCGGTTAGCTGTTGCTGCATAATGAGCCACCCCCAGACTAGGTGGCTTAAAAACAATTTTTTATTTCCTTCTGCTTCTATGGCTTTCCTGGATGGTTTTTATGGCTTGGGCCAGGCCAGCTGTCTCTGCTGGGCTCTCTCATGTTAGTGGTCAGCTGGCAGTTGATGATCTAGAATTGCCTCCCTCACATGCCTGGCAGCTGGGGCCGCTGGGGCCGCTGGGTTCTCACTCATGAGTCCTCTCAGGCTCCAGCAGGATGGCCTGGGCTTGTTTACATGGTTGCTTAGGGTTCCAAGTGCAGCAGGAGAGAACTCCCAGCGTGTGTTTTTCAGCCTCTGATGGCATCACATTGAGTAATGTCCCATTGGTCCAAGCAAATCATGTGGCTAATCCATATTAAAGGAATGGAGGAAGAGACTCCATCTCTGGATGGGAATGGGAAATTTGTGACCATTTTTACAATCTCCCTCACAGGTCTTCCCGCAAAATAGCTAAAGCAATCTAGTCATTCCCTGTCATATTACCCTGTTTTATATTTTTTGATACCTACCAATGCCCTAAATTATCTATTTGTGTACATGTTTATTATCAGTCATCCTACCCCCTGCATAATATAAGCTCCATGAAAGCCGGGGCTCACTCTATTGTGTTCTCCTGTATTCCCAGGGCCATGAACAGTGCCTGGTAGATATTCAATAACTATATGTTGACTCGGCTTGTCTTAGGGTTATTGTGGAGCAGGCATGGAGGGTGCCAGGGAGTTAGAGGAACTGGTATGTGGCTATTGGATCTTGTGGAATAAAATAACTATTATAAACTAATGGGTTAAGTGACAGTTAAGTAAGGGTGTCCATAAAGTGCTCAGAGGGGAAGCCAAGCATCCTTCTCAGAGCTTGTGGGTTCCTTTGGTGGCTCTACCTGCTGTGTTCCCCTCTCATCATTGGCTTATATTCACAGGCAGGACCTGCTGACTTGAAAAACTTTGACCCAGAGTTCACTCAGGAAGCCGTGTCCAAGTCCATTGGCTGCACTCCGGACACTGTGGCCAGCAGCTCTGGGGCCTCAAGTGCATTCCTGGGATTTTCCTATGCGCCAGAGGATGATGCCACCTTGGACTGCTAGATGTCCCTGTGACACCACTGAAGACAGCTGGATCTGTAAGGAACTGCCTTCAGCTGCTAGGAACAGAGACTCAAAGGAACAATGGCTTAAATAAGATTCCCCCCCACCCCCCAGCACATAAAGAATTGTGTTCGGTGGCCTGGGGCTGGTACCATAGGTCATCAGATACTCAGAGGCTATATTTATAGTTGGCTCTGCCATCCTTGGCAAATGGCTTCAACATTAGTTGCTACATTATTGTAGGGTGGTTACCGGAGCTCTAGCCGTTGTTTTTGTGTTCTGGGCAGGAAAAGAAAGGAGGAAAGGAGGGAAGAGCAAAAGGGCACTTACAGTTTTCCAGAAGCCCCACCCAATGCCTCTGCTCATTAGCCACCCACGCCCACCTGCAATGGAGGCTGGGATATGGGACTTATTAGCTGGCACATTATTACCCCTAATAACACAGGTGTTCTGACACTAAGGGAGGAAGAGGAAAATGTTGAGTAGGCAACCAGCAGGCCTCTTGGTGTTTAGATTTTTATCTCAAAATGTGAAATGAGAGATGTGACAAGCCTATAGGGTATCACCCAATATCCTCTCTTATTTTTCTATGTTGATGGTATCTCCCTTTGTTGCGGGTAGTATTGGACATTTGTTATTAGGTCTATCTGCCTGGCATCTGAACTCCTCCCTCTACTCAAGAAATCTACTTTATGAGTCTGGGTGAGGGACCATGACTACTTCCAATGACGGTAGCTGATGATGGCAGCTGAAATTCTATAGTGACTTTCCCAGCCTCCCTTGCAGCCAGGGATGCACCTGTGCCAGATTTTGACTCAAAGAAGGGACTGGAAGCTCTTTCATGTGGCAGCTGTGGCGGCGGTACCCACAAAACCAAGTTCCTGGTGTAGAGGTGGCAATGATGTAAATTGTGGCAATTGGGACTCAGTGGCAGCTGCCGCAGCAGCAGTTTCTTTGTCAGTGCTGTGGTGTCATTCCCCTCCCTCCTGGGAAGCACCGAGCTTCATCCTCTAGCTTTCGAATGACTGAGAGCTTCTGGTCCTTTTAACAATCCCTATCCCCTTTTTGGCTTAATTGTCCAGGCAGTGTCAGAACACCAACCTATGCTGAATCAGTTTCTGTGCTAGACTCTTTCAAGCCTATTTATCAATTTTTATCCAGACAACCCTAAGGTAGGAACTATTACTGTCCCCTTTTTAACCAATGAAGTAACAGGGTCTGAGTTCTTCCTTGCCTAGTCACATAGCTAGTAAGGGTCAGAGCTGGGACTTAGAGCCATGTAAGCTGTCTCCAGGGCTCTCACATGTGACCCTTGTGCTCATTTGCCTTCCACTCTGTTAGGTCCAACAGAATGGCTGTCAATATCTCTGAGAACCAAGTCAGAAACTGACAGGTGGTGGGAGATGGGGTGTGGAAGAGGAGACATTCAGCTGGATGCTCACGATCTGAGCCTGGCTGCCAAGTTCATGCTGTGCTCCACCTCACCTGCCCCTGTATGTTTGGCAAGCCCAAGGCCACGAGCCCAGGCCTTGGACAGGATTGGGAGCTGGTGCCAGTTTGGTGACCACAGCTTTCCATCCACAGGAAACAACATGGGCACATAACCTCATGAATTCAGAACACCCTGCACTTGTAGGGGTGGATCATGTTTCTTTATTTTAGTGGAAAGTGGCTTCTTTTTCACAAACCTGTGGCTGGCTCATGATCTACTTGTTAGCTTTTCAATTTGTGAATAAAAGGGGAACTTTAACATCAGTGTGTTCTGTGACTTTTATTGCCTTTTCCTCTTAACTCAGTCCCACTCTCTCCCTTCCATTTTTCCAGGGCAGCCCCCACCCTAGGAATTATAGGGGATGAAGCTGAAGACCATGGACACACCAGTGACACAGATGTTGGAGACCAAAGCTGTGTCAGGAAGAGCTGTTGTTACCCTTCGATGTGCACTGAGAACTCTGAAACACTCTGACTTAATTTCTGTCTTAATAGTATCTGTTGATTGACAAACGTAGAACGTGATGGGGGGGGCAAAATTCCCCCAACTTCCGAAAGCAAAAACCAAGAGAGTGTAATTGTCTGAAATGTGCTAGTACTGTCAAAAGCACACAATCTGCTGTAGATTGTGAAACACATAATGGTTCTATCTAAGACTCTAAGATCACAAAATTTTCACCAGGATAGGAAATAAAAATGAAGAAAAACTATGATAGAGACTTGATCACACTACGCCTATGTTTACTGAGCATGTCCTGCGTGTTATGTGCATTATCTACTCTCCTCACAGTGAGCCAGCATTTAGGAATTATTAATCTCATTTTATAGATAAGAAACATTTGCTCAGAGAGATTAAGCAACCTGCCCAGGGTCACCCAGCTGGGATAAGGCACAGCCTGGAATTGAACTTGGTGGCAGATGATTCTAAGACCTTTGCTTTTTCTACAACCTCCAACTGTGGGGGAAGTGCTGTGGATAACTTTTTCAGTCTTTTCGCAAATACTGACTCCACATGGAGCAAGGATCCCAAGACTTGTCCCAACTCTCAAGTGACACAGCCTACTCTTTTTACAGTGGAAACACATCACTTCCATTTTTATCCCTCACTGAAGACTGTATTTACCCAATTTTGCACCAAAATACAATATCCCCAGGAAAAGAATTCTCAACCTCCTCCACTTTTCATCTCTGCAATGACAGTAGTTGTGAAAAGGCAGTAAGAGTTGTGTTTTAAGATCCCCAAATTCCTACCGCTTTGTACATGTTGAAGATTATAACAAACGTAAACTGAAATCGAAATTGTCCGAAGTCTCTCCTCTCATCAGGTTGAGCCAGTGAGGTGGTGGCATTGCACAAAAGTCTACAAACTTAGGGCACGGAGCGCTCCCTGGGGGAGAGGCCCGTTTACCCGCACCTGATTTCCCATTCTCTTGTCGATGCCTCTTTGTCATCAGCAGTCCCTTCTACCCGGCCTCCTCTTCGCAGCCCTTGCCTTAACGAATACCACTCTTCTTTCACATCTCTGCTCATCGCGGGCGCCTCTCTGCCCAGCTCCTGCCCCTTACAGCTCCTTAAGACAGTTTATATTTTCACTTTTTTGTAGGACCTGGCCAGGTCTAAGTCCCTGCCTGGGGACGCCTAGAGGGCGGCCTCACTGCCATATCCTGGGCCTGGACCTGTGGTGCTCAGAGATGCGAGACTGATCAAAGAGAAAGAACTGGCTCGTGTTACCTTTCTCACCATTAAACCTGCCCGCTCTCCTCCAAGAAACCGACCCTGACATCCCAGGGAACCGAAACCCTTCCGTACCACGTTGCAAGTCTCCATTTGGGAGTTCCCCGCAGTCCGACCACGCCTCAGCTGTAAGGCTCCGCCCCTTGCCTCTTCGCGCCTGCGCTCTTGGGATCCAGGCTGGGGCGTTCCTCAAGAACAGCACCCCCGGCGCCGGAATCCTTCAGTATTCTCTTTCCTCAGGTTGAGCGAAGTTTAGACCCTTTGGACCTACCATTTTTATCAGTCTTTGTAAGACTTGATACTAAAGACACAATTAAATCGGTTTATATTTGGCTAAAGTTAATCCACAGTTCGTCTGGATGTACCCCTCATCCAAAATAATGGTACAGTCCCAGTTAGTCCCGCCCCTACCAGCACAATCCTGATGCTCGAGGCTCATTGGCGTCTTCCGCTATGTCGTCATCACGTGGCTCCTAAGGTACAACCACGCCCGGGTTCACGCCTTCCGAGCGCGCCGCTTGGCCTCCGGCGTTGCTGAGCGGCCTTGGATACCTGCCTGCGGGATGCTGGGCGTTGTCAGGTGAACATGGTGGTAACTGGGCCTCAGGTAAGAAGAGCTCCAACTGTGATGGGCCGGCTGGGGCGTTGGGGCGTTGGGGCGTTGGGGAGGCCTGGAGCTGGCGAGGGTCTCTCCGGACTGTCGTGGGGGCCTCTGGGCCAGTCTTATGGAAAATAGATGTCCTTTGGGGTAAACTGGGCGCGGCTATAGGCCTGAATCCGGACAGCGGACTGGGTTCGAGTCTCCATCGCCTCCTGCTACGCTGATTTTCAGTGGTCCTGCTGAATATGAAAGTGGATTGGACAAGGACTCGTCACATCTTAATCTCATACCCTTTTCTTACAAATACTGCTCTTAGGAATCTTTTCTCCGGCAAAAATAATGGCAAAAGCAGAAATATGTAAATTCCAGTAGTATTTGTGATAACACAGAATTGAAGATGAACATGAAGGCAGTGGTTCAGTTGATTATGACATAACCATGCAACAGATCATGCAACCAGTAACCTAATCATGAAGACTTCCTGCAGGAAATTGGAGAAAGGGAAATACAATATTGTATATACACACTGAAAACAAGCATGCACAGGGATGGGATGAAACATGAAAAGATAACTGTGGTGGGTTCACGGGGGCATTTTTTTTTTTTTTTTTGTAACGTGACAAAATTATTTTAAAGTTAAAACTGGAAAAAAATCAATATGTGAGACTAGCTAGGGAAATCTAAAAATAAAGAGTTAAAAAGGGAGATTAGCTCTCCAGTACCACCAGACGTTATAACATTATAAAGCGATAGTAATTAAAATAGTATGGAACTGAACAGGAACTTACAGTCAGATAGAATATGTTGAATTCAGAATAAAATCCAGATATTTGTAGGTGATGTTTTAAATTAGCATTGAAAAGTTGGATTGGTGTCAGACAGCTTTCTAGTAAAAAATAACAAAGTTCATTTTGAGCACCATCATAAATTCCAAATGCACCAAAATTTAAATTTTAAAAAATGACATAAAAGTACTGGAGGAAAGCATTATTGGGTGTACTTACAATCTTAGCATGGCAAAAATTCTTCTAAATATGTCATGCGATCCAGAAGCCCAAAAGAAAAAATGAAAACTTTTGACTCTATAAAATTTAAAACCTTCTGTGTGGCCTGCAAAATTTCACCAAGCCAGAAAAGCTCCTATAACCTACATCTAAAGACCAATAAATTTGTGAAAGTATTTGTTTAATCATTAGTTAGAAAAATATGAAACCCAATAGAAAAATAAGGAGAGTACATGAAAAAGAAAGTCAGAAGAAATACAAGTGGCCAATAAGAAAAGTGAAAGATGGCCACCTCACTATTTTAAAGTGCTAATCAAAACAATAATGAGGGGTGCCTGTCTTATTAGAAGAGAGGAAAATGATTAGAGATAAAATTGTATTAGAAATAGTGAAATGGAAGTTACAATATTTTTGGAGGGCAATTTGGAAATAATTTACCTAGCCATTCAACAGGTAGGAATTTATTCTACACATATGGAAAGTGCACTAAACCATCATGCTCAAGGATGATTGATACTTGTAGCATTGTTTTACCAGCAAAAATTTAGGGGAAAAAAACCCATCATGCTTAAGGATGATTGATATTTGTAGCATTGTTTTACTAGCAAAAAATTTGGAAAAAAAAGATGTCAGTCTGTATATAACTAGTTAAATTAATAACGGTACATCCGTAAAATGGAATACTGTGCAGCAGTTAAAAAAAAAAAAAAAGATCCCTATGCACCCTGGCTGGAATGGCTCAGTTGATTGAGCGCCAGCCTGCGAACCAACGGGTTGCTGATTCTATTCCCAGTCAAGGCACATGCCTGGTTGCAGGCCAGGTCCCCAGTAGGGGGCGCATGAGGGGCAGCCACACATTGATGTTTCCCTCTCCTCTTCCCTTCCTCCCCCTGTCTAAAAATAAATAAAGTCTTTGGGAAAAAAAAATGATCCCTAGGTACCAACAGGGAAATATGTGAAAGATACAGGGTTAGGTGAAAAAAAGTGTGTTGGAAAATAGTGCATATAAGATGCTATTTTGTAAATAAAACTGTAAGTTAACATATGTATAAAGAGAATCTGGAGGGCTGTACCTTCCAGGTAACAGTAGTGAGCCGTGAGGAATCATGGTCTCCCACAGGGGCAGGGAGATGGTGGGCCAGGGCAGGGCCATGGGAATAGGCTGGTCACCAGTGTTGGCCTTAGGTCTCTGTAACTATGATTATGCATTACACTCTCAGCCTTTGAGAATTGCAGAGATTTCATAGCTAGGTTGCAGCTTTATATCCTTTCTCATTAAAATAGAAGAAGTAGACTGTTTGTTCCTTTGGGGTCTTTTGGAATACTTTTTATTGTCTTTGTTTTTCTGATCCCTTCTTGTTTTCATAGGTAAACATGGAGAAAGAGCTTCGGAGCACCATTCTTTTCAACACATACAAAAAGGAAGTATTTACCACCACCAATGGCTATAAATCTATGCAGAAGAGACTTCGGAGCAACTGGAAAATTCAGAGGTGACCTTATGAATTGTTTTCCCTTCTAGATAATAGCCTGCTGGTTAAAACTGAAAGTCTTTATTTTCTTATGTAAGACAGATTGTTTAGGTGGGAGGAGCTCAATTTAAAGATCGTTCAGAAGTAAATAAATTATTAAAGAATCTCTTTTGAAAATTGGCAGTTAGCGTATTATTAAGTTGTCCCCAAAACCACAAATAAAAAAATTACTCTAATTATCCATATATAATTTTTAAAGAGGTTAGAGGCTTTTTCCATATTTTAACTTGGGTTAATACTATAGTTTAGAGAAAGGAAAAATGAGAATATTTCTCTGTCTTTGTAGGTGTGTAGTTTTCCTGAGTGGGTAAGGGTATGTAATCATACAAACTATCAGTGGAGCTGATTGCATTAGTAGTTGGAGGATCCTTTATG